ACAAAATTAGCAAGAACGAAAAAACATTCAAACCAGCCATGCCATCATGATGCTTTGTCTCTTTCAGGACGGCAGTCACCACAATATGCACTGTAGCCTGGTACGGTACTGTGATGAAACAAAAGTGTACTGTACTCTCTGGAGCTGTACAGATCCGCTAACAACCCAACGGGCATCGTGGCCGAGGATAGAAAAAGCAAAAGGTTGTTACTCACTATAGCGGGATCGAACCGCTGACCTTGCGATTAACAGTCGCACGCTCTACCAACTGAGCTAATAGTGAACAGCTGACCGCTTTGACTATTTGTGGCCTACAAACAGAGCATACTGTACGACAACTCAATTTCTTCATCCATCCGCGCTGATCATCACCATCATTGTGAACTCTTTCTCTGCAGCTTTTATTGTTATTGGTAACGAAAATGACTTCCCACAGCAGCACAGCGACCTCCTATCAACGGCAGGAGGAGCTTTCAAAGTCACTTTTCGACGATGTTGAGAGTAACAACAACAAGGATAATAGCGATGACAGCACGCAATCTTCCTCCTCATCGTCGCCTTCCAGTAACAGACATATCATTACGATCCAGCAGCGCAAACAGGGATGCTCTTGGCAGTACATTCGCGACGAAGTTTGGTGATATTTGACAACGGATGGGACATGCGCACTGCCCATACTTTGTATGTTCTTTTTGGTAATTCCGGGAACCACATTATGGTATTTCTGTGGATAGCAGATACTGTAGTACGGGCATACCCGGAAAAAAAGTGGGACAAAGTACTATAGGTAATACAGTTGTCGGGACCATTCCCGATTAACCGCGCTGGTAGAAGCACGAGAAATGCCTACAATTTTCTTGGTGAGCTGGAAGAATGCCTTGCAACCGTCCAATAGATGGCTCAAAGATTTACAATTGTCTCGTTCGCAGCATTGCGACCTCATTCATGCTGGTCGCTCAAGATCTCTATCTGCCCCCCTTCGTTTCGGTGAATGACGTTTCGTTTTCACTGTATTCAGTGCAGTGAGAATGCAAACTGACCAACTGAAAATCACAAAGGCAGGATAGGAATATACAGAATGAATTCGAAAGTAGGACTTCTTGGGCAAGTTTGAAATATTATGATATAATATGTATTCTAGTCAACCTTTACCTCTTTGCTAGGATTGCAGCAGCCATCTGTTCCATGGGCATCTATTGACGATGCAGACCCAATTAGTTTTGAATATAGGGTGCTAAAATGAGCCCGCCCCACTCCAACCAAGAACAATAATCCAGCCAACCACGGGCAAAGAGTACTGTAAACATCTGGGAAGGACATACTACCTACGTCTGAGCTTGCTTCTTCTTGAATCAAGAGATCCAGATTGAAGAAATCCACCACATAGGAAAGTATCAAGGCGGTCCCACTGACCGCAATAGCTATTCGCAAGCCAATATTCGGTGACCCTTTTCCTTCTACTTCCATGACCTTTTGAGTCAAAAGCGCTTGCGTCGGCAAGTTGACTGCCGGTGCCGAGAGCAAAAAACCAAAGGCAAGGCCTGGAGATCCACCAGACTTTTGGATTGCGGCAGCCAATGTCACCGTGGTGTGCTCGCACAATTGCATGGGGACCGCGGTGGCCAACAACAGCCATCGCATGAAAACACCCGTAGTAGCTCCTCGACTGGCTAGGGTACCAGGGTTGAAAAAATTGGGATGAAAGTGAACGACATAGGTACTCAAGGCAAGGCCCAACAGCACCGATGGAAAGACCTCGTAGGCAGTGTCGGCCAGGACCTCCAGAAATGCCTTGAACGAAGAAGTGCTCTCGATTTGGTTTCCTTTCGAGGCTGAACACTTTCCGCTGCTTGCTTGCTTTGAATTTAAAGATGCCACCTTTGGAAGACATTCTCCTGCCACAATAGCCAAAATCATGGCACCCGCCAATCGGGAAAAGACTGCCAAGGGTCCGAGCAAACCATATGTAATCGCAGCACTGTCAATCCCGGCCGATTGGGAAGCCACCAAGAAGGAAACTACGGATCCGAGAGGGACTCCTTCATTCCAGAATCCAGCGGCAACTGGTAGGGCACCACACGAACAAAGTGGGGTGGCGAGGCCCAGCATGGCTGCGAGCGAGGTGCTACCAATGCTTGTCATCCTTCCATTTGAAGGACGATTCGACTTATTTTTCCACCAGTCCAATGCGTTTTTAAAAGGCGGCAAGGAAATGCTCATTGAAGTGAATCCCGTCACAATAACTCCTAATGTTAACCATGGTATGGACATTTTGATCTCGGTCAACAGCTTGTCCCAATAGGTGGCTGGAGGTACATAATTTGGATTCGGAATCTGCCTTGGTTTCCAGTCGTAGTCTGGATTCAAAATTGTGTTTGGTTCCCACTCTCCATCATCTTCACTATCCCAATCATCAGGACGAAAGTCGTTTGGATCGACTAGATATCTTCGTTGGCCTTCAAACTCTTCGGGTGCTGTGTCATTTGGATCTGCGATGAATTCGCTCACTTGTGGCTCTTGTCCTCCAAGTTTGTGTTTGCAACAGCTTTCGTGAGCTCGAGATGAATGAATGCAGAGCAATAGCAAGATAGTGAACAGGAGGTAATGGAGAGACGGGTGCCTCATGGTTTCCTTTGTCGTTGCAGTGGTTGAGTTGTGAACTTAGTTCTGTTACATGTTCTGATTTTCAACTGTTTCAAAACTTTGAGGAATCGATCGTGTCAATATAAAGGAAGCTTGGTAGGCGACACTCATTCCAAAGAAAACGCCTACCAATGAAAAAATCGAACAATATTCAATCTATTCTTTGATAATCTAAAGTATAACAATTAAGATATTAAACATGCACCAGCGTCAGGTGCATCTGCTAGCAATAGCTGCAAGTTTGCGTCTGCGTCAGTAGCTCTCTTGGACCCAAACTGCTGTATCCAAGCATGTTCGAGCGCCTCTTTTGCCGTTATTCTCTCCCCAGGATCTGTTTTTAGCATTTCGCGTATGAGATCTCTGGCGTCTTTCGAGATTCCACTCCAGTCATTCTTGGGGAATTCAACGACAGCCTCTTTATTTGCTTCAATCAAGGCCTCTTCTGATTCTCCATAGAACGGTTCGTATCCACAAAGCATAACATACAGAGTGACTCCTGCAGAAAAGACATCCACTTGATTTCCATACCCTACTCCACTGCTCGCCTTCAAGATTTCTGGGGCGGCGTACCCAGGAGTCCCACAGCGCCCACGCACAAGCTTGTCAACGCCTACAAAGGCTGACATTCCAAAGTCACCAACCTTAATAGCTACACGATCGTCTTCGCCCTTGCACATTAGAAGATTCGCTGGCTTAATGTCTCGATGAGCGACACCTACTCGGTGCATTGCCTCCAGACTCCGGAGAACATCTTCGGTCACCAGACAAGCCTCTCCTTCGTCCATGACACCCTTTCGTGATATGTATTCAAACAGATCGTGCCCTTCCAGAAGTTCCAATTCCAATATCAGATTTTGAGATGTCTCAAAGACCCCACGCAGCTGAAGTATGCTTGGTAACTGTCCGCATTTGGCAGTCAGCGTTGACTGCACGGATAGCTCCCTCACGAGTGTATCAGCTCGTTCTCGTCCCTTGACAACTCTTCGCCAAAACTCTGCCTTATCGACGATCTTTAACGCTCGATTCCGATGTTGTGGCTTTTCTCCTGGTTCTTTCATGTCCTCGTAGTACTCTGCATCTTTCCTTCGACCGGGTCGTACCGTAGCATACCGACCGCTCCCGGATTCCATATCCTCATCAAATTCCCACATGTCGCGAGGTTGCAATCGAGCAGCTCGGTTCAGGCAGAACACCCAAGAGTCTCGATCTTCCCGATTGTGCACCTGTATCAGGAGCGTGCGGGGATCTGCCTGGGCGCAAGGGCTGGCAAAGAAATGCAATTCCAGCGAGTTTGGTAGTTCGGGGCTCGCGTAAGCAGTCGCCAGTTGTAGATGCGCAAAACCTCGTGGCAGCGCATTCTTGGGTGCGTCCACATCATATTCCAGCAAATAATTCTGCCGCAGAACAAGATTGCAGGAAGACCAGGTTCCAGCACTAAGATGTCGAGTTTGCCCGACGTAGGTAACGAGTGCTTTGCCCAAATTAATGGTCCCAAAAGCAGAATGTGAAATCGCGGCTTCCTTGGGAGAATGAACAGTCGTCCCGGATACCTTGTCCATCACACTGACGGGACAGGTGGCCAAGGCTGCTGCCGCAATCAAATATCGACGGCCCGCTTCCCAATGTTCCGTACTATGGAGTGGCTTGAGAAGGCGCATGTTGTGTTGGACGGATATTCCGTTTTCATCCACCGGAGCAAGCGGCAGAGGATCGTGCAGCATGGACGGTATATACGTTTCGGACGCGACTATCGTCACAGCAGTAGCAGACACAAAGAGTGTGAGAACAAAAATGAAGCAAAATTTTAAGGTACCCAATAATTCCGCCACATACCTCTCGAGTGAGCTGCAAACCTGCGAACACCCGCAGTAGCAGCCATGTACGCCATGGGTGCATAATTTCGTTGGGATGCTGGAACATCATCCCCCAAAAATGGTTCCGTAGTATCCCGGCTGAACCGAGCATCGTTGTGATACATGGTAAACATCTTTTTCGTTTCTGGATCAACATTTTGTTGATACACCAAAGAAGAAGGCGAGCTGCTGCCAATGGTAAAGCTTGGTTCGGACAGTAAGGAAACCAAAGTGTTGGGACTGGACGAAGATGGCTGTGCAGCTCGATGGCCATAATCACCACCAGCAGCTGATGGATCATGATACATCATTTGAGGAGTACTTTGATGTTGTATCTCTTGTGATAACAAAGACAAGCCCAGCCCTCCAGTGGACGCGGAATGCCTCAAGCCGCTTATATTCTGCGGAGGAAGCAAGGCTGGTAATCCGGTGGGGGCATCATCATCAGTGATTCCTTCTGTTTCTTCCCCCAGTGGATTCATGGATGGTACCGACAACTGTGTCGACGACCCATAATTGATGAGTCCAAACAAGCTAGTTACTGATCCTGATTCCACCAGATAATCCAAGCCAATGTCATCCTCGTCTTCTGATATTACCCGTCTTCTACTGGTATTAGTAGTGGTCGGTATGGAAATGTCGTCTACACTTTCTGGAGCTGATCCAGACTCTGGAGATCCCCTCGTAGGTATTCGACCAGTTGCATACTCCGGTGATCCCCTGGCTATCCGACCATGGGCGTGGTATTCCGGAGACCCGCTCGATCTTCCAATTCCATTTCGCAAGGGAGCGTCCAATTCATCTGACTTGCTATTTCGCTTGGTAACACCAGTTTTTCGTTTAAAGACGGACTTGAAGTAAGTTCCACCCCGAACCGAGCTATCCATGTTACCGTCGCCACTTTCGTGGCTCTTGGTCCCAAAACTGCGAACCCTTTGTCCTATGGAAGTCCGTTGGGGCAACGGAGGCTCACCTTCCGGTGTTGTTGTTGTTTTGTGTCTTTGCGGAGTATTGGGTGAAGACCTCGAAACCAAACGCTTCGACCCTGGTATCATTGAAAAACTGGCAGATTTCTTTTTGGAATCCAAGCCTTTCGTGTCCGATGAAGATTTCGAACTAGGCGAACTGGAGTCTAGATCCAAACTATTGGAAGAATTCTTCCCCCTCCCCTTTGACAAGAAGCTTTTGTAAGCTCCTTCCCAAATTTTCTTCTTTCCATAACCTTCAGGCGATGCTGATATCTGAGGATTGGGTAGAAAACTGCTGCCATGTGACCGAAACGAAGTATCTGGATCCTCGTTTTCAAATGATCTTGATAGGCGCACATTGGAGTCGTCACGCGGCTTGTGGGTTTGTCTATCGAGGTTGTCTAGACTGTCCATGTTCATTTATTATTGTATATTTGTATTTTGGGCTTCAGGAATGGTCTTGTCGTCACCAATTGGGGTTGACAAGTGGACGAAACGCTGGTGCTTTCTAAAGCAAAACTTGACGAATGTCGAATGTGTGTATGATATTCAAAGCCAAAAGTAGCAAAAGCTTTGGACACAACTTCGAGTAAGTCTGCTTTTAGATTAAACTTCTTTTTGTTTTGATTGCCCTCTGATTTTCATATCCCAGTGGCTCAGTTGCGAACTTTTGTTATCCGGCAAAACAATAGTGCCATTATGCATCATCATGGGTGTTGACGATCTTGTTTTTTTCAGGCGTAACGCGCGGATATCGCGCCCACAGTTCTTGACAGTTCCCCCCAAATTTTCGGAAGTTCGTGTGAATTTTCAGCGAAGTTCGAGATTTGGTGATGACTCACGTCTTCGTATCAGAACTGCGAATCGCCGCGTAATTTCATGTGATGTCTATGAAGAACCGCGACTGGTGATGAAGGGAATAATGCCGGAAGAACCAAAGAACAACCCCACGAAAATCCGCTAATTTGTTCAATCGTGTCTCTCGCTCGCTCCATGACGGCGCACAACTCACGAAAAAAAACGGTTCACGTTTTTACTACCGGTAACCAATCATTGATACAACTGTAGGTATCCTACCAACATGTGTATGTGGGTGAAAGCGTGTTTTCATCATCGCTGATGAGTTCAACTGCTCATATCGAAAAGCAAACCTCCCTCCAACAATGCTTTCAGATTGATTCGCACACAAATCTAGATTCTCACAATCTTCATCATCCTTCTTCTTCGTCTTCCTTGATCAACCAATCAATCAATCAATCAATCTTTACCACTCGACATCATGGCCATCATCAACACCAAGAAGTGCAAGAGCATCAATGCTACCACTCCGGAAGTCAAGGAGAACCCAAACAAGTACATTCCCGAAAGCTTGTTGATCAAGAAAGAAGCGGATACTGAGGATAATCAGGAGGAGCTTGGCCGCGAATTGCGCTACAAGCTTGATATCCTTGCCACGCCCGTCTTGAACTCTTCCCGCAAATCCGACAAGCCAGGACAACGTACCTTGTCCAAGGACAATGTCGACAGTCTTTGTGACGAGTTTGAAAAACTCATGACCACAAAGACGACTAGCAGCAGCACCACTTCGGAAACAGAATCCGAGTCCGAGTCATCGGATATTGAGGACGATGAAAAGGAGCCTACTTCTCAAGAACTGGAAGACACTGGTCGTGTTGATGGCACCGCCTTCAACTATCGCACATTCAAGTCCTACAAGGTCAAGCGCAGTGCTCGCATTGCGAAGAAGTACTAATCTACTTCTTCTTTTGGCCATGGAAATCGTGGATATAATCCATGTTTCACGATGGAACATTGTGGGATTGTATCCATAACACTGTAACCTAATCAGACTGTAATTTTTACCTACATCATTGTGATTATTACTATTATTGCTCATCAACATAATATTTTGTGTATGGTGTCTCTTTTATTCCATCGTCATCATCGTCACTCGTTATGAGGAACTAGGGTAGTCTCTCATCATAAAACAAGACGAAGATTCGAAGATGCGAACTCTGACACTTTATGACACCAAACCTATCCGAAGCCTCATCATGCTTGTACAGATCTTCAAAAAGAACAAACGCATTAAGTCATAGCTCGGCAACAAAAGCATAGCCTTTTGCATACAACACCAACAGACACAGACAATGACCAAACTTCTCCTTACTCTTATCCCCCTTCTCCTCGCCTCATCCATCGATGCCCTAGCAACAGGCGGCGCTTCGCAATCTCGGGTCTTTGTCGGAACCCCCACGCAAACGGATCCTCGTCTTGTCAAAGACTGCATGACCCCGACTCCCATATTTACTCTACAGACAACAAACACGGTCAACGAAGCCATTCACGATCTGCTCCAACGAAACCTCAATGGAGCTCCTGTAGTGGACGAGGATGACAATCTGGTGGGAGTCATCACCGCCTTTGACTTTCTGGCCAAGGAAAATGGGGGTGCCGTCTTGCCCATGCAAGGCTCCAAGGAAGAAATGGGCAGGATTATGAATGTGGCACGCAAGATTGTCGCTACTACCGTAGGGGACCTTATGTCTCCCGAACCCATCACCATTCATCCTCATTCCAGCATGCGAGAAGCCGCTGCCTTGATGAGCTCGTCCCGAACCCATCGTCTGTGTGTGGTGAATGACGACGGGAAATTGATTGGGACCTTGGCAACAACAGATGTCATGCAGGATGTTCTCAAGGCTGTTCGTCAAGCTCTGCCCGAGTCACATGGTGATCCACAAGACGAGTCGGTATCAGAACTCTTGCCTTAAAAAAAAAGCATTCAGAGGCATCCTCTGATACAGAAATCCCAATGTTACCATTTTTCAAACCATGCTGAAAAATAGGATGGACCAATAATCTTTCATGCTGTCATTCGGGTGACCAATGAATATGAATATTTCTTAGCTGCTTAAAGACCTCATAGGAGCTAAAGCTACTGCGAAATCATTAAATCATTGTACATACAAGAAGAAAACCACTATTTTGATATATATCTACTATTTCAACAGGAATTGATTGACATGTAGTTTAGGAACTTCAAGCGAGATCTTTGAGGGCTTCTTCCCCAGTATTTTCTTTGTCGTCTTTGTTTACTCCCTCATCAGTCCCAATCGCCGAACCATCATCATTCTCAGCAATAACCTTCTCCTCACTCTCTTCATCGACTCGTTCGCATTGCGAAGCCCAGACGTCAACAGACGAGACGCTGCTGTTCCTGTTATTTAGTGGAGTGATTGGAGGAGTTGGAGGCAGGGTCTTTTTAGGGTTGGGTATGATCGCGAGAGCTTTCTCAGGGGCTTTCTCTTGGGCTTCTTCTGAAGAAAGTTTATCTTGTGAACTTGAAGTATCCGTTCGTCTAAGCAGGGTGCCCATGTCTTCAAGTCCAAAGCCTCTGCTACTGTCATCGGCATCAAATTGACCGCTCATGTCACCACCGTACCGGGATGCCAGGGAAGCGTTGGTCATGTTGACTCCAGATATTCTTCCAGTATTGGTAGCTCGTGCTGACAAATCTATTCGGGCTTGGTTTGCAGGGTTGACGTTTCCCTCACCCTTGAGTGTCTTGTACATTTTGGGAACAAACAGAAGAAGAAGCACTGTGAAATTCTGCAGCAAGACTGCAATGCAGCGAATGAAGAAGAAGACATTAGAGTCGTCTTGAACCAACGCCACGAGTGGAATGACAAGGACTTGAGTCTGGAACATGAACATAACTGCGAGGAACAAGGAGCCACTTTCAGCGTATTCTGCATTGATGTCCTTGGTCTGGAAGGCCAGGACAAGTGCATACAGCAAGCAAACGACATGGAATGCCACAATCGCCATCCAAAAATAGTTGCCAGAATCTGATGTACAGTATCCATATGATTCAGTTGTAAAGCCTTCATCCTCTTGCAATACGACTCTTTCCCATTGGTGTGGATCATATAATTGCCACGTCAACAGGATGGCCCCTTCTATCGTCATAATGACAACCATAATGCTTGCCACATCTTTCAGTTCCACTCGCTTCCGTCTCATTTCGACACCCGCTCGGTAGATCAGCCGAACGCGCTGAATCTTGGCAAACATGGCACTGAAGGTAATTGCAAAACCCAAGCCATACAACCATGGTACTGCCATACATGCCGCATCGACAGTACCGATCTCTGGATTGACAACACTCGTGAGTTCTCCAGACGCTATATCCTGGACAAAGCGGTATTCCGTCTCGAATCCCAAAAAGGGAATGGCAATCGACGAAACCACAGTTCCAAACAATATAATGTATAGAAACAAGGGCTGACTGATCCGGACGACCCATAAATCACGGCAGCTAATCATCCACGCAAGACAACAAGCACACAATCCGAGCAGGATCCCAAGGGCAGCGAATCCAAAGATGTGCAGACCCTCCGATATCGTGTTGTAGTCTTCTTCAGGTCGTTCCGTGCAAACTTGATAAAAGTTGCCCTCGCATATGATTTGGTCGTCGGACGGTGGAGAAAGAACGAAACTCGGGCCTGTCTCGAGGAAATGGTTCTTCAGCACTTGTTTCGTATATGCTTCGATAGTCAACGTATAAACTGGCGTATTTCCTTGTAGGTATGGCACTTGGTCAATTCCGAAAAGGAGAGTTCCACCGTCAATTCCAGCATAGACATCGGGCGACAAATCAAAACTTCCGGCCAGGACCTCTGGGTGCTTGGGGACTAAAAACTCAGTGTAGGCCGGCACTTGTACTGATCCAGTCAGCAGCAATCCCACACCCGCCCAATCTCCATTGGGATTTGCCACAGCGGCCTCGACTTGCAGTCCATATTCCACCTTGTTGTCACGTGATACGTCAAAGGATCCCTGAAAGGTCGCTCCTTGTCCAAACTCATTAATAGCATCTTCAAATCCTCTACATCGTTCAATGAGCGATAGAATACCAAATTCATGTTGCAGACAGTATCCCTTTTTCATGCCAGCAGCAACCATTCGTGTTCCAGCACCATAACCAGCACTGTACTCGACCATTCCAATGTGATTCAGCAGGTCCAGCTCCAACGATTTGTCTCCTCCCGAGTTGATCGAGACCACTGGAACATTTAATTCTTTGCACCTCATGATGGAATCCAGCACCACATCGGAAGGAATTGTGACAAAGATACCGTCGACACCATCTTCGCAAAGAGCTTTGATTCTCGCCGCCATTTGAAAATAAATTTGATCGTTTGCATCGGGTTGGAATCGAATGAGAGCTAATTCCACATCCATGTCATCCGCAGCTTGACGTGCCGAGGCAAAGACGGGATCCCAAAAGGTATCGGTCGTAATGCCGTGCAAGACTCCCCCAATCCTTATCGCTTTCTTGTCGGTGCACTCACAAATAGCTTCATCTCCGCTAGGATTCTTGGTATTGGGGCAGATTGGAAAGGCATCTTTGGCACACTGTTGGAGGGCGTCGGTTGGGACATTATCCTTTCGAATAATGGTGGGACCCGCCAAGTAAACATCTTCGTCGACTGGCAATGCCAAGGTTTTCTGTGTGGTGACGTAAATCGACGCCATATAGACTGGCAGTACTCCTTGCAAGTAATGTTGCTGTGATACTCCAAAGGCTACATTTCCCGCAATGACCTCACTCAGAATGGTAGGCGTTTCATCAAAGGCCCCAATGTGAGTGATCCCACCACAGTTGTGCTCCTGGGAGGCCGCCAGTGCTACTTGCAGGGTGTCTTCGTCCACTACCATGACTGCGTCGTATCGGCAATTTTCTTCAAAGACTCGATTGATACTGGTCACCTTGCCAAAGATATCGGTCGCATCGACAAAGATTTCGTCCACGACTGTGGCATTTGTACCGAAAGTCACATTGTGCATGTTTGCAAAGGCATCCACAAATCCTCGGCTTCGTGCTTCCAAACCTTGACTTTTTATATCGCTATGGATAAGCAAGGCGTTGGTGACGTTGGTAATCCTGGCAAATTCCTCGGCCGCCGCTTGTCCGGCACGGTACTCGTCTTGAGCGACAAATCCCCTGACCCCAATGGACCGGGCATCTTCGGATCCCAAATTCAGCCCAAAGACTGGAATTCCAGAGTCAATAGCGCTCTTCACGGCTGTTTTGACTTCTGGGCTCGGTATGGTGACGATGAGTGCATCGAAGGAATCCCTACTGTCAATGGCCGCCACGATCCGGAGTGCCATTTCTTCCGGACTGAGGGTTTCGGGGCTCAACTCAAGTTCCAGATTGACGCGCATATCCAAGGCTGCCTGTCGCATGGCGGCTTGAATTTCCAACCAAAAGCTGTCATCGGAACCGCCATGCAAAATCGCTTTGAGGTTGTATTCGGAACGTTCAATGCAAGGATCGCATTTTTGGGCCTGTGTTGTGGGACATGATGATAATGCCAAAAATAAGAAAAGAAGGCACAAAGCCCAGCACTGGCGCACCCACGACATTTTGCCCAAGCAAACACAGAGAGCGCTGTGTGGATACTCGTAGCTTTTACTTGTTTGTCTCAAAATAAAGAAGGACTCCAAGTGGGAGGAGGGTGAAGAGAGAGGAACAAGCGACGAGGTCTTTCTAATGAGAAATAGGAAATTTGAGGAATGTTTCGCAGTTTCGCAAAAGGACAAACAGTAGCGCAAGGAACGCGGTCACAATGAAAAAGTTCTCATTGAAGAGGAGTGTACTTTTGAATTTGGGACGACTTTTTGGTCTGAGCCCAATTAAAGAATGCTCCGCACTTCCTTAAGCATTCTCAAACTTGGAACAATTCAATACCGGGCTTTAACTATTTTCGCGCGTTTTTCCAGATCAAACACTCTCGAGCAAGGACAAACATTTAAAAAATATATTTTATACCTACCGGTACGAACACGTCATCGTAGTTTCAATCAAAAGGGGTTCGTCTCTCAAAAGAGGTTCGTCGCCCCGCCTTCGTACTGGTACTCTCTGCGTTTTATTACTGAAGTCTCTAAACTGCGATTATTGAATACAAATGAATCTGAAATAAGATACATTACATTCCAAGCTAATCCATTTTTTTCTGAACCTATGGTTTTGGATTGACCATCAGAAAAGAATCTGCTCCGTCCTATTTGAAGGAAAATGATTTTACACTTGTACAATACTACTATCTACTATCAGCACTGTCACCTCTTAGCTCCCAGTATTCATGATTGATTATTATGGAACTTCTCCAATAAGCTGAAGAATCACCAAAAGCACGCCTCATCATGATGAGCCTATTCTTGTTGGGCCTTTGCTGGAATATCTACCGTTCTTTGCTCAGCCGACAGCAGCAAGAACCTAGCCCCCATTTTTCGGAGTACAGTTTCCGTGTGTTGCATCTTGTTGATTTTGTGGTCACGGAACATTTTTCCATAATCCGTTCCATATTTCTTCATGCACTTGGCAATGTACTTTTGGTCATCCTCCTCCATTGGATATTCCTTTCGTACTTTCATGGAGTCCGAATCAGGAATATCAAAGAGTTCAACCAAAGATGGTGTATTGCTTGGATCATATCCTTGTTGTTCATTCGGTCGTTTGACGTCTTGGTTGGGTTTGGCCAAAAGCCCCAAACTGGCCAAATTCTGTGACGGCGATTTGGTATTGTCCCAATTTGCTTTAATGACATCGTTGCCAAATTTAGGTGAGGGGTTCCATCTCTTGTATGTTTTATTCTTTAGTTTGGTCTTTCCAATCCGCCCTGCTCGTCGTTTCTTGTTTCGCCCATGTTTGACCATTGTAGATGATAGACTTGATGAATGGTGTAGCTTATTGTTGTGTTTCTGCAATTTCCTTGGTTGGTTTCTGTCAGTCCAATGAATCGAATAGGATGGACTTACAGACGTATCGTACGTGTCAGCCAGAGCACATAAACTCCAAACCAAACATTTCATTAACTACAGGTAGAGCTACACCATCATCCTTCAATAGATTCGTACCAATCATTGTGAGACGAGTACCAGGTACCTGTGCGAAGCAGCTTGCGTATTCCCACTTCAACAATCGGAAAAAAGATGGCGGGATTTCTTGTGGTTTCTTCCAGTAGTCAAATGAGTCAAAGGAAATGGGGGACAGACGAAGCGAAGCATATTCCGATCAAAGAGGTTTTCCTGTTATATTTTTGAATCGCACGAGTCAGTGAGGCAGTCGTGTATCACGCCTACGAAATTTGTACGGCGGACTGATCATGATGTGGACTGCGTGCTGCGTGTATCATACTGTAGATACGATTTATTAAAACTGATACAGTGCCTTGTATACAGTATATAGATGATGAGCGACTGTACATCTACAAAACGTGTCTGACTCCAATCTTGATACATACCATCGCATATACCGTATCACAATATTCTCGCAACCCCCAAAAGGATAGAAGAAAATGAACGAGAATGCTCCTAATTCGATGATGAATGGGCGTCTACACGAAGCGGTGCGAAAAGGAAACCTGTCGCTCGTTCGAGCATTGTTGAATGAAGGCGCCGATGCAAATAATAAAGCCAAGGATCGATATCGAACCACACCATTACATCAAGCATGCTACTTCGGCCATTTAGAGGTAGTCAAGTTGCTACTCGAAAAGGGTGCTGACATTCATTACAAGTGTCAAGATGGAAATACACCATTACATGTGGCTTGCTGTATTGGTCATTTAGAGGTAGTCAACTTGCTACTCGAGAAGGGTGCTGATATTCATTACAAGAGTCAATATGGAGACACACCATTACATCAAGCTTGCTACTTCGGTCGTCTGGAGGTAGTCAAGTTGCTACTCGAAAAGGGTGCTGATATTCATTACAAGATTCAATATGGAGACACACCATTGCATCAAGCATGCTACTTCGGTCATTTAGAGGTAGTCAAGTTGCTACTCAAAAAGGGCGCTAGCATTAATGCCAAGGATCACTGTGGAAAAACACCATTGTACAAGGCATGCGATGAAGGTCGTTTCGAGGTAGTCAAGTTGCTACTCGAGAAGGGTGCTGACATTAATGCCAAGAATGAATATGGAGACACACCATTGTACAAGGCATGCAATAAAGGTCATTTTGAGATAGTCAAGTTGCTACTCGCGAAAGGTGCTGACATTGATGCCAAGGATCACCGTGGAAAAACACCATTGTACAAGACATGCGATGAAGGTCATTTGGAGACAGTCAAGTTGCTACTCGAGAAGGGTGCTGACATTGATGCCAAGGGTCAATATGGAGACACACCATTGTACAAGGCATGGGATAAAGGTCATTTCGAGATAGTCAAGTTGTTACTCGAAAAGGGTGCTGACATTAATGCCAAGAATGAATACGGAGACACACCATTGTACAAAGCATGCGATAAAGGTCATTTAGAGATAGTGAAGTTGCTACTCGAGAAGGGTGCTGACATTGATGACAAGGGTCAATATGGAGACACACCATTGTACAATGCATGCGATGAAGGTCATTTTGAGATAGTGAAGTTGCTACTTGAAAAGGGTGCTGACATTCATGCCAAGAACTTTGATGGAAATACACCATTACACAACGCATGCTGGAGGGTATGCACGCCATTGTACAATGCATGCTGGAAGAAGGGTCATTTCGAGATAGTCCAGTTGCTACTCGAGAAAGGCGCTGACATTAATGCCAAGGATCACCGTGGAAAAACACCATTGTATATGGCATGCGATAAAGGTCATTTAGAGCTAGTCGAGTTGCTACTCGAGAAGGGTGCTGACATTGATGCCAAGGGTCAATATGGAGACACACCATTATACAAGGCATGCGATGACGGTCGTTTCGAGATAGTCAAGATGCTACTTGAAAAGAGTGCTGACATTAATGCCAAGAATGAATACGGAGACACACCATTGTACAAAGCATGCGATAAAGATCATTTAGAGATAGTCAAGTTGCTACTCGAGAAGGGTGCTGCCATTGATGCGAAGAGCCAATATGGAGACACACCATTGTATAAAGCATGCGATAAAGGTCATTTAGAGATAGTGAAGTTGCTACTCGAAAAGGGTGCTGACATTGATGCCAAGAATGAATATGGAGACACAAAATTACATCAAGCATGCTACTTTGGTCATTTAGAGGTAATCAAGTTGCTACTCGAGAAGGATGCTGACATTAATGCCAAGGGTCAACATGGAGACACACCATTGTACAAGGCATGCAGTAAAGGTCGTTTCGAGGTTGTCAAGTTGCTACTTGAAAAGGGTGCTGACATTCATGCCAACTTTGATGGAAATACAGCATTACACTCTGCATGCTGGAGGGGACGCACGCCATTGCACAATGAATGCTGGAAGAAGGGTCATCTAGAGATAGTCGAGTTGCTACTCGAAAATGGTGCTGACATTAATGCCAAAGATCACTGTGGAAAAACACCATTGTACAAGGCATGCGATAAAGGTCATTTAGAGATAGTAAAGTTGCTACTCGACAAGGGTGCTGACATTGATGCAAAGGGTCAATTTGGAGACACACCATTGCACAAGGCATGGGATAAAGGTCATTTCAAGATAGTCAAGTTGCTACTCGAGAAGGGTGCTGACATTAATGCCAAGAATGAATATGGAGACACTCCATTGTACAAGGCATGCGATAAAGGTCATTTGGAGATAGTCAAGTTGCTACTTGAGAAGGGTGCTGACATTAATGCCAAGAATGAATATGGAGACACTCCATTGTACAAGGCATGCGATGAAGGTCATTTCGAGATAGTCAAGTTGCTACTCGAGAAGGGTGCTGACATTAATGCCAAGAATGAAAATGGAGACACTCCATTGTACAAGGCATGCAATAAAGGTCATCTAGAGATAGTCGAGTTGCTACTCGAGAAGGGTGCTGACGTGAATGCCACAGACGCTGAAGGAAAGACCTCATTGCATGTGGCATGCCGTGAGGGTCATTTGAAGGTAGTCAAGTTTCTAGTGAAAAAGGGTGCTGATGTCAATTCAAAAGAAAAAGGTGGAGAGACACCAATGCATTGGGCATGTGGGAAGGGTCATTTGAAGGTAGTCAACTTTCTAGTTGAAAAGGGTGCTGATGTCAATTCTAAGAAAAATGGTGGAGAGACACCGATTCATTGGGCATGTGGGAAGGGTCATTTGAAGGTAGTCAAGTTTCTAGTCGATATGGGTGCTGATGCTCATGCCAAAGCCACGATTGGAATGACGCCATTTGAAATGATATGTTGCAATGATGATTTGGACCTGGTCATGTTGCTAGTCCAAAGGTCATGTTGTGATGGCCATTTGGAGGTGATCAAGAAGCTGCTTGTTGGGGCATGCGAAAACAAACGATGCTAATGAAGCACAGTCCAACTTTCTAATATTCTATAATATGAATTAGGAACGTCAATCCTTCAGGGGAAAGGAAGATGACAGAATTCCCATGGAAGTGGAAAGGCTCACCATTGATCCTTCGGTCCAAGACTTGTCAGGTGAATGTTGCAAAAAGCTTCTGAAGCTGACGCACGTCACTTTTATTGAATCTTCAGAAGCTGAAGGAGGGGGTCTGAAAACCATTGGAAGAGATGCCTTTCGATCTTGTCCTGCCTTGGAAACGATTACACTACCTTGCACTGTGCAAGTCATTCAAGGGTACGCCTTTGGATTTTGCTCGGCACTAATGGAGGTTCACTTTCCTGAAGGATTAAAAAGGATTGAAAGACGAGCATTCTTCACTTGTTCCGCCTTGCAGACAGATAAGATCCCCTCCTCCTTGGAAATGATTAAGTCCTACACATTTCATTCATGTAGCGCCTTGACGGAAGTGGACATGTCGACCGCGTTGCTGACTAGGATCAGCTCTTATGCCTTTCATTCCTGTTCGCCATTGGAAAGCATCAAGTTTCCCAACACAGTTGAGATGGAGGCATGACATGACAGCTCGTGTAGATGCTATGTATGAGGTGGATGACAGAGCCGAGAGAGAAGAAATGGTTCTCAATACCCGGGCCGTACTCGAAGGATATGCCAATCTAGAGAAAACTTGCCTTTTGGAATTGGCTCTGTGGAAATTTGAACTGTCCTTGGCAAGCAATAATGATGATTTGGCACTGGATGGATTAGCATCAGGTGTGGACCGCGAGGTTGCGCGAACGACACGTGGAGCCTCCTTTGTGTTGGCAAATCTAGTGACATTTTGGAAATCCTAGGAGTGCGATTGAAATCATACAGTAGCGATATGTTGCATTCATTCATTTACAGGTAGCATTTTTTGAAATCAAAACGATAGACTGCTACTGTATCATAATCAAAGTCTTATTCGTTCATACCAGACTTGGGTGGTGGCCAATCGTTGCATTTGGCTTCATCCAGATGTTTTACAAAAGCCGCAAATGGACCATGGATCATGATCATATCGTGACACACTTGAATGCGATGTTGTTCGGCCATCGTGGAATCTTTCACCATTCCCTTTCCTCCACTCTTTTTATATTCCAACCAATATTCGTCACCGGTGGCTGCTCGAATGTGATGCAACATAACCTCATGGAATGCATTCAAACTTTTGGAAATGGCTCCATGGCTGTACCTTCGACACCAATGGACTCCTGCAACATCGCAGAGTTGGGCATGCTAAATCATTTTGGGTCTCTTGGCATTGATATAGGTCCCAAGGGTATCATCCCACCGATGTACATGATCCATGGCCATGCGGTAGGGGGGCGAAATGTGGGTAGATTGAATTTTCGATTGGTAGGAAAGGGGACCGACCTCATACGCAATGCTCCAATGGGCTTGACTTTTTGTCCCTTATTGTTTGCCTTCTCGTTCGCCTTGTTGTTGTCGTTTGTCTCTTTAGTTTCTTGGATATTTCCATCATCATCGTCGCCGTCGTTGTTGTCTTGGTCATAATATTGTGCCAAGAATGATCGCAATGGATATTCTTCTTCTTGTCTCGAGGACTCGTCACCACGAATTTCCACAAACTCGTCCACATCTAGGGTCAATACCCATTTGACACCATATCGTCGCAATTGTGACAAACATTGATTCTGCATGGCTTCTTGCCACATGCTTGCCCCAAAAAAGGGTGCACTAAAGTTGGCATATTTCATGAAGTCGTCCATCGAAAATTGTAGGGAATGTAGGTGACATCGTCGACGTTTGGCAATAAATAAGAACGGGTAGCTAGTTGTTGTATGGAATTGGATGTAGGTTTTCCATTTTTGTCCTAATCATGTCCGTCGTCGTCGTCGTCGTATTGACAAAGATCTAGAAGTGTTGAACTCCCAATCGTTTGTAATGGGCGTACTATTCGGAAAATTGGACAAGCATAGTAGTCGAGGCGTCGTGACCATACAAGACGGAACACATGGCCAACTGAATACTACTATTGGTGTTGGTGTTGTTGGTGTTGGTGGGAGTTTGTTGTGGTGGTGGTGATGCTGGTGGTTTCCCATATTGTTGTTGTTGCTCCATGGCATCGCAATCCATGAGTGGCTTTAATTGATAATAAGTGGTGACATGATTGGAAGAAGGAAATGAGTCGTTGGTCCACACTTGAATGTCATCATCATCATCATCATCATCATGATTATTATGTTGTTGAAGGCTCGTTAGATTGCAGTGTAGAAAGAACAAATGCTATTTGCTGACGTGATGCACCATTGCCGGTTCCTGATAGGTGCTATGAGTAGTATAGCGCTAGTACTAGCGCTAGCACCACAATACCAATGGAAATTTTTGAGAACTAAACCTTGAGCCTTGAGTATTATCATCATCTGCTCTGCGCGCGACATCTGACATCTCTTCTCGACTCATTGGATCGGAAAAAGATTCTAATTCGTCTGCTGCTGCCGGACAGACAAAGTGTGACGTCGAACCCGTAAAATTTTCACGTAACACCAAGACTGGTCGACATCACGAATTTCAAATTTGATGCGTGCCCTCCGATACTGGTACGATAATCGACACTTCACACTGTACAGGTACCGGTAGATCCTCATCATCCATCATCCATCATCCATCATCTTGACATATCATACATCAATCAATCCGACAGATAGACAGACAAAAATTGGAAAGCCGCAAAAAGAGACTGAATGTTTTCGAATAATCGAAAGAAGGAGGCACTGGCACCGCCGTTGGTTTCTGCTCCACCTGGTCCCCAACCTTGCTTGCCTTCTTTGTTTTTGGGTATTAGCGAGTGGTGGATTGCAAATTTCGAAGATGTCCTACGGAGCGATCTTGTGTTCAGCACTCGTGCGATGTCATTGCATCCACTTATGAAAGGTAGACACGATCAAATCCATATCCTAAATTACCTTTGTGGCAAAGATTTGATTGCCTTATCGAAAGCTACCAATGGAGGTAGCTTGATGGTGAGTGCTGACGACTTGATCCGAAACAACCGCCTTCAAACTGAAATCCACCCATCCCCGGAGGGTCGTTTTCGGGGAGTGATACTTACGGACGAATGGTTCAATGTAGACGAAGAATATGAAGCACTAGCATCCAACCTGCTCCAAGCGGCAAAGGGCATGTACGACCGTGGATGCAACGTGGTTTTTGTGACCACAGACGGTGTCTTTTCCGCCCCAGCAAGAATTAGTGCGATATTTCAGCTCGGACAAGATCACTGGAGATTGACGAACTATACCAGCTGCTCCATGGTCAAGACAGGAGTTGGAATGACGATTCTACAATCTGCATTCCCATCCAAATCGGTTTACCTCAAATCGCATCTGGTCTCTTCTCCTGCGTCGGAAACCTTACTAATCGAGAATGTCAATCCTGACGACTATGACTCGGATGACTCTGTTCCCACTCCAAACACCTCATCTCCAGTTGTTGTACATCGCGGCACCAATGGTGGATATGTTTGTTATTTCGGTTTTGTGAACTCTTTGGATGTTTCTTGGGGGGCAATAATGCTCAAGCTGTTGAATCTAAACGCGGCATAACAATAGTAGGCCTGGCGATGACTGATTGATTCATTTTTGGTGGGCTAGAGTGTTCATTTCTCGCTCCTATGAATACCAATGATTTGGAATAATTCTAATTGGATTTCCCTTCACATTTCACGGCTTGCATGATTTACGGATAGCATTGGCGCGGCGGTGTCTCTTAGAGGTACAGTACTATATGGGTGTAAAATCGTGGCTTGTGGCTTGTGCGGTCCGATCCGCTTTCAAACTCTGGATCCTCTGTGTGACTCAATTCCTTTGAAACTGCCTGGAATAGTATATTTGTCTTCAAACGGAAGCAGCAGTATTGATGACTTTTGAATGGCAATCAACGATGTTTGTTTTCCATGGGAATGATTTCCAGTTATAGATTTTTTAAATAAACTACCGTAGCAGTACCATTTTTGAATTGGCAACCGCACACCATGAATGGTATCGAAGGCTATGCTGTATTGCACATTCTTCGAAAGACCTCCTTTTTGTATGCATCTCTTGGTGGTCTACTATCGGTCGTCACCCCGCACACACAAGTAAAAGACACCCGGACAAATAGACAAATAACGCAAGTAATTCCGCCATCAATATCATTGAACTCGAAATTAACCTCGAAAACCTCGTAACTAGCTTTTCGGAGTGTCCTAAAGCTCCAAAAGCCAAACAAACCAACTTATTTCACACAATGATGCAAACTTCAAGTTGATCTCCTTTGTGACACTTGCCCCCATGTGTGCACACCTCAACATCCATGGACCCAACGGTATCAAAAGCAAATTTCACAAGGTCAAAACGGCGCCTTGGCCAAAGAGGTGTTTGGATTTTAAAAGGATTCATTCTGATTATCATCTGGGGCAATATATTATAGCCTCCCCTATTTATTCATAGCATCTTCTTCCTCTTCAACTGTCTTGTCGGCCAAAATTCTCTCCTTGTTCCCCTCATAGGCCTTTCCAATGTAAGACTTCCCTTCGCTATACTGCGCCAATGCTTCTCTCGGATCCATTCCAGCGATCTGTTTCTTTTTGGCCGTCTGATTGTCCATGACCATTTGTGCAAACATCGTATTGTTGGTATTGTAGACTCCCTTAACTGGAGGCTGCGGTTTGTGTCGGGCCATGTCTGACTCGTATTGCTCTTCTTGTCGCTCCTTGAGCTTTTTCTTGCGATTGCCTTGCCCACCAAACAAGGGCAAGGTATTGGGAGCAATAATTTCTTCCTCCCGGATGACAGTTCCAGGAGGTGGTGCTCTGCTTGTGTAGATTTCTTGCAAGGCATCCTCACCTCTGGCCCGCTTTCGTTTACTGCTAGTACGTTGTCTGAGATTCAGTAGCATTCCTTTCTTCGAAAAGTCAATGGAATAGCAGACTTGGAATTCCTTGGTCGTTGCCACCAATATTTGATTCAACTTGGGGTGCCACACGAGGCCAACAAGAGGATATTGCAACTCGACCAATGGCATGGAATATATTGGTTTCTTTTTTATTTTGGTCTCTGTGATTGATTCCTTTGGAATGGAATACAGCTGCAAACGCGTCTCGTAATACTTCTTGTTGCCCTCGTCACTCTGGACCGTCCTGGTAATTCCAACACAAAGAGTCTTGTTGTTGGGTGAAAAAGCCATGGTTGGGCTAGACGCACCACTCTCGGCATCCACCACGCCATCCCCTTCCAATGGAATAGTCAACAATGGCGACGAGGACAATGTCAGTCGATACAAGGAGCTATTTGTGTATACGTGAACGGCCTTGTCAGTGCGAGCCGCTACTTTGGTACCGTCTCCCGAGACTGCAATGGAACGAATCGCATGTTCCTTGTTGGCCAACTTGTTGATAGTTTTTGCGGAAGACGAATCATCGTCTGATGCTGCTTCTGGGACCATGGTGGACTGCTGTGGCCTCAACTTGGAAACAAATGGATATTGATACCGTTGGATACTCCCACACTCCGTCCCCAACCAAATCGACGAGGGTCCCATCATTACCATGCAGGTGGGCAGTGTTCGACGCCCCGTTCTTGGATTCTTTAGTAGAATGACATCTTGGCATTTGAGCATGCCAAAGGCTAGTTTCCCCTTATCCACATTCCAGACCCGCAATGATCCATCTTGCGAGGCTGAAAAGACAATGGACTTGTCGACCGCATGCCAGGCCACTGACACCACGGCGGCTGTATGGCCGATCGTCTTGGCTGGATCCATCACATAGACATCGCCTCGGACCCACTGCAAGATTTCTTCTCCTTCCTTGTCAAAGACTTTGGGTTGTGCCGAATGTGTGGAGACAATGAATCGTTCTCCATTCGGACTGTAGGTCACGCTCGTAATCGCGTGACTGTCGTCACTGACCAACAAGTTGGAAAAGGGAGTTGCTTCACTGGAAGAAGACCACCCGGCAAAATCGTAAAGTTGCATGGAGGAATCCATGTGCGCCAAGGCAAAGCGACTTCCGGATGGATCCATGGCAAGGGATGAAATCACAGAGGATTCTGACGATACCGTTTGGCTGCAGGAAGAAGTCTCGGGGAAGGGCAATTTGTACTTTTCTATCATTGGATGAAGATCGTCTTGTTTTGGGACTTCTTGTTGTTGCTTTAGTTGCTTGAGCCGCTCGGATTCTTCACGTTGTTCCTTGTCCGTGAGTTGATACTTGGTGTATGCTGGAGCCTCCTCGAGGCTGGCCATCATGGCGGCAATCTCCGCTTGTCGGGCAGCCCGACCCGTAAGAGATGTCATTGGCTCTTCTATATCGGTAGCTGCCACAGTCGATTTGTCGTTTTCCCCATTCTCACCATCACTTGGCTCAGTATTATGATCCTGAATCTCTTCCTTTTCCTCTTGTTTCGTGGCGGTGTTGGAACCACCTCCATTCTTCACTGGAATTACAGTCTCATACTCCACTTCAAAGGATGGTTCTGCCTTGCCAAATTGAACGACGCATCCTTCTTTCAGTATTGTCGGTGTGTTGGGTGCAAGGCGTACTTGATCCACCCATGTTCCCGACTTTGTCTTTAAATCTTGCACCATTAATAGCGGATGATCGTTTCCATTGTTCTGCTGCTGCTCATAATACAAGACAGCATGTTGTCGTGACAAACTCTTGTGGGTAATTCGAACGTCACAGGTGGCCGCTTGTCGACCAATCAATAGAAAGTTTCGATCCTTGTGCACTCGAGACGAAGCGTTCATGACAATGGCTTGGGCTTGTTCCTTCTTTTCATTCTCATCATTAGACTGGTTATTTTGAAACCTCAAGCGAGCGACTCCAGTAGACGGTGAAATTGTGGCTGTAGATGGCACACCAAGTTCATTGGATGACACCATGGTTTGTAGTTAGAAAACGATAGCGGAGAAAGTATTGTTTGATGGAGACGGTTCGTACTCTACATTGAATATGTTATTTATTCATCGTGATGTGTTATTCTATGATATATTCGGTTTTGTCACGTATAGATGGACAGACACCAAGAAACTTCTACAGTACCATATCACATATCACATCACATACCGTATGAACATACTAAGTATAATACCAGTAGTATACTCTTTCGTACCGGTACAGTGCCAGGAGGCAAAGTGGTGCAAGATATTTGAACATGTATTATTTTATGTATTATTATATCTATTGACCCCTCCATGCTTATTAGAGTCAAAAATTGCAAACCCTTACTGGGACAACGAGGTGCTCGTCCAAAATTTCATTTCCAGTCGTCCCTTATTCTTGTTCTTCCCGTAATGTTTCCAATTCATTGGGACGGAATCCGAAGCATCTTTCAATGCCGACCTTAGTGAACCGTCCATTTCAACCTTTGTCGCCGCCCCTTTCTTTTTGCCTATTCTCGAGATTCGTACTCGTTTCTGCACAGGTTTATCGGCTGACGGAGAAACGAATTTAACTGTAGGCTTGTCATCAAAGCCTCCTTTTGGAATTGACTTGAGAGACCTTTGACTATCTGAGCTTCCTCCAAGTCCACTACCCCGTGCAGCGGGATCGCCTATCCAAAATGTTGTCATGCTGCCCTTCCCCTTGACTGCCACCTTTCCACGCTTGCGGATGGGAAAGTCTGGTGCCTGTTCCTTCAATAGCCTAGCTGATACCTCCGAGCACTGGACCTGGCCGCTCACTGACAAGCTCTCCATTCGAGAGGCGGTATTCATTGTGTCTCCAAAGAGTCCAAACCTTGGATTCAACGATCCTATCACATTACTCACAACGGATCCAGAGTGGAAGCCAACTCGAATGTGGACACATCCGGCAGATGGATCATCTTCGTCAATCTGCACTTGAGACGCTGCAACAACTGCATCGATCGCAAACTCGGCAATTCGCTTCACATGAGTACCATTCTGGTTTCCGTCCAAGTTTGTGACTCCTACCCATGCATCACCAATGGTTTCCAATTTAAAGACTTCGTGTTTGTCGGCCAAGCTGTCAAATGCCATATAGAGACGATCCAACATGTTGCACACTTTTACTGCTGACATGGCTCGTGAGATGTCTGTGAAACGAACAATGTCACTGAAGAAAACTGTCACGTTGCTGTGGGTTTCTGGTTCGACCTTTTGGCCAGCCTTGAGCTGATCGGCGACCTTCTTAGGGAAGACCTTGTACAACATATCTCCAGCGGCAACCTCTGTTCGCAATCGTGTATTCCCTTCGTCAATCAGTGGCTCCGCGTCGTTTGAGTTCATGTCATTAAACATCATATCCAAGTCCTTGGATTCGGGGCGAAACGATGGATTGGGGCTCCAGCACTTCTTCATAATGTCCGCCATCCTCTTTGGGCAGGTCACTGGGATACGTGGACGGTAGTTAATCCTTGGATTGCAAACTTTCCTTAAAACTTTTGTGGGATTGGCTCCTTCGTATGGGATCTTGCGACTGTAGATTTCGTAGATGATCATTCCAAAAGAGTAGACATCACAGGCACTGCTGTACTTTTTCTTCCCACTCAAGTACTCTGGAGCCATCCAAAACGGTGTTCCCGACAACGCATTAGAACTCTTGGTCGACAGTCCAAAGTCAGCCACTTTAGCTCGGAAGCGAGAATCAATGAGAATGTTCTTTGCTTTGAGATCCCGGTGCAGAGTTGGTGGCTTCGAGGCGTGCAAGAATCTCAATCCTTGAGCAATATCTTTGACGATCTGCATGATGATTTCCCCACCCGTGTACGCAGTGTCGTTTCGCAACAAATCATAGAGTGAACCATTTTCCATATATTCCATTACCATCATTGGGTCTCGTCCGCTCATCACTGCACCCATAACCGTCGTGATACATGGATGACGTAGCCGAGAAAGCAGTCTCATCTCCTTCACGAACTCTTCATGTCTACGGTGGTTCTTATCACACCAGGGGAGAACCCTTGCAACCAGTGCTCTCGTTGTCGAACCTCCAGTAGTGGACATATTTAGAATTGTCAAGTTGGTCGACGTTCTGTTACTTCCAAATGATGGGATCCATCTCGCAAGTGTTGTTTTCGGCGCACCAGTATCTAAATCGAAACTATCAAAGGACGAATCACCTTCGATCTTGTTATCATTGATCCCTGAATTCGTCTTTGGAGTAGCACCAGATTCAATATCCGCACTCGCCTTGGAATCGCTTCGTGCGGCGGCGCTATTGGAATTTCCTATCCTTGCCTTTGCGTCAAGTGGAAGGACTCGTTTGATGGCGACTCTTGTTCCACGATAGTCAGCCAAGATCACTACTCCAAATGCTCCTTGTCCGACAATTTGCACAGGGTGGTCGAAGTCTAACTCTTCATGGTTCACTTGCCAGATCTCGTCGTTCTTTCTTCTTTTATAACTCAAGTAGCAACCCCCAAGTTGAAATACCACGAGGAGGGCTACCGAAGCTACAATCGCCGCAAATGTACCGGATGCCATGCACTGACCTGCAATGTGAATTGTACCCTCGGCGCATATACATACACCAACATCATCGGGTGCCATTCCTCGATTGGGGAACTCCTCGTCGCAGTCTTTTTCAATTACTTGGATTCGCAGAGGCGATTCGGGGATTTGAAAACCGTCAACATACAGCTCCAAGATCGCAACACCTCGTCTCATGTCAGAGAAAGAAAACTCATACAGATATGGGGCTATAGTGTGGACTGGAAGTGATCGTGCTTCATGCCCGACATGCATGATCGCTGCAACTGTTGCGTTTGGTCGGTGTCGATTATCTACGGCTCGGATGATCATTTCTTTTGTTTGTTCCACTACGCCACAAAGAGACATTTTTTCGCACTATATCGGAATAAAACATGTTAGCTGTATGCCGCATCACCTTCACACACACAAACACTGGATTCGCTTACCCCGCCGTGCTGAATCCAGTCGGATGCTCTTTCAGTGTGATTGAAGTCATCGCTCAAAGGCGATACACTGACTTCGGCAATATCGCCACCGATGCATCTATCATTGACAGCAATCGCATCTGCATGACACTCGCATACTCCAAATTTATTCTATAGCATTGTGAAAAGTGTCAGTTTTATCGATCCTAGTTGGGATTTGAGAAAACCATGCGACGAAGTACATACCGGAATTCGTCCTTGGCCTGGATACTCTTTCTCACAATCTCTCGCGATGATCTCGACCTGAACTGGCGACTCGGGGATCTGGACTCCGTCAAAGGAGAGCTCTAATATGGCAGTCCCTCGCGTATTGTGGGTAAAGCTGAATTCGTAGAGGTATGGTTCGATCTGGCGAACTGGCAAGACTCTCTCTTCGTCACCAAGATGCAACAAGGCCAGGACTGTGCTGTTATTTCTGTGTCTGTTATCATACATGTGATACATGATTTCTCTTGTTTGCTCAAAAGAGCCGCAGACATCCATTTTAAAGCAGCCAAAGTCACTAGTGACGTCAAATTCATTATCCGACCCATCGTCATGCCATGGAAAGACGGCGACATCCGACGCCTGAACACATGGTTTACAGTAGCAATTGTATCCCTCTGGGCACGGGGTTCCACTTAGTTCGCACTGTCGATCGAATGTCTTCTTTGGTACCTTGTAGAATCCCACAGGGCAATGGATTCCGTCATAAAGCGAGTCGGCTCGTTCACAATGCCATTCACCTAGTGTCGTGGGGAGCGATTCAACGAAATATTTCTAATTGAGTCTTGCAGTCGTCAATATTGGCCAGCGAATTCAATGTTGAACTTACCATATTCATCTTTAATAAAGAATCCTTCATCTTGTTGCATCGTGCGTACAAAAGCGTGAGATCGTGGTGGCCGAAATCCCCTGTGATGGCCAGCTCTTCCTGCTTGATGAGTGAGTTCAGCTAATTCTCTTGTTGTATCGCAGCGAGCAGCAGAATCAAAGTATACGGGAGGCATAGTATTGCACAATTGCAATGCTTCCGCAGTTTCAGCTTCTTCCTGGCAAAGATGAATCGCTTCTCCAACCAGGTCATGATACCAAAAGTTGATCATCGCAAGAGCGACTTCTTCTGCCACAATCCTATCCACTGAACTCTTGGCAGACAGTGGCCATTCTGGAAAAGCTGGGGTGGAGTGGAGGAATGGGAAGATTGACCCATCGTCGTTGACGTGGATCTGCGGTTGAATGATCTTGATCTTGTGCGGATCAATGATCTTTCCCGTCGCTGGATCAATGGTTCTCTCAATAACACCGGTGCGGACGAACCCAACGTCCCATTTTCCATCCAAAACCCCTTGAATTGTATCTTGGACATTGCCTAGTGTAGTAGGTCAAAGAAGAGTTTTGAATCGTGTTGAGTTCAGAAATCCAGACTGTTAGAAGCATAACATTCACACTATTTTCTGCTCACCTGTAAAAATGACTTCTTTTGGGTCCACAATGAAATCAACGCCATGTTGCTTCATTGTATAGAACTGGGCCTGTGCTCCGCCAAAATCAGAAAAGTCTTGTGCCCCAATGACCTTCCCCTTCAGGTCAAGGACAGTGTTGATTTCCTTGTTGCTATTCAATGCTACCATTGACCCAGCAAACTCGTCGGTGTTGAAGCCTAAGCCTCTTGACGACAGTCTAGCGATCGTCGTGGCAAGTGCTTGAGCCCCAATCTCGATTCCCATGCACGAGAAGACCCCTGGATCAGTATACATGAAGTCAATTTCTTCGTCGTTGTCGATCCAATCCCGGAGAGGGTCCTCGGATGCCTTCATCTTGAATTGAATGTTAGGCTCGAAACGTTTGCCGACAGCTTCGTTCAAATAAGTTTCAAATGTCTGATTGAACTCTTGATAGGCAGTTTCCACTCCAGCAGGAGCATACACTCCAACATAGTATGTTTCCTTTTGGGTTCTTGAGGAAAACTCTCGGAATCCTTGGGCACAGTTCAGTTCTCCCAGTTGCCAGTGCTCCTCGGGAGACCAGTCATCGGGAAGCGGCGGTCGGTATACTGCTGATACTATTTGAGTGGCAATGGCAAGCCATGCCGTAGAGAAGTGGATATTCATCCTTGGATCTGTTGATCTTTTTTTTTTAAAAGGAAAAAATTGTGATGGGCGGAAATTTTACCTTCGTCCCTAAACATTCGCATTGACACGCTCGTTCCAAGCTCTTTCGAGGTTCTTTGCTTCGAATCCGCAGTAAAAAAGGGGTACCGTCAAGCCCGGAAGGCTACAGAATGCGAATATATATTATATCGTACGCTGTATGGAATCTGATAACCAAAGCTGACACCACCGTTTCGGCTGTTTTTTGCATACCGGTACTGTACACACGTACCAGTACCGTTCGCAATTTCTGATGTATTTTCTGTTCATTTCAAGACATTTCGCTGGAATGTCGATTGTTGCTAATAGTACAGTACGGTAGAGGTGTTTCGACACTTGCAACATCGTACCAGTACTGTAGTCTTGAGTTTTTAATCCTTTATTTTTATTTTGAGGCGAAACGCATACACCGATATTATCATCATTATCCTTGTTATATCATTATCATCGCGATCGATGAGAACTCAAAGCAACCGCGCGCCAATTTCAAAAAAGCGCATTGAGAAAACCAAAGGAACAGGGGCCATTACCAGAGATGGATTTAACAACTGTGGTGACGTCTAATTGCTCTGGATCGCGCCGTCTCTTGTCTCCCACAACTAAACTAGATGAATAGGATTTACTCCTAAACTAAAGATGTGGAATACTCTCCATTCCTGTATATATTGCTACAGTACTATACTAGCTTCTTTCCAACAGCCAAGAGGCTTGTCATACTTTCACTACCATTATTATTACTCTTGTCTACACAGTACTACTGTAATGCTTGCACTCTTATTTGAACGGAAAAATTTTTACCAAAACCAAAGACACTCCTACCAAAGATATACATACAAAATGATGGAAAATAGAGTCGGCATCATCTTCCTTCCTTCCTTCCTTCTCTCTTACTTGTTCTGAGGAGATTGCCACCATCTACTGGCCCGTCCCGTCAAGGGCGAAGCCCACGAGGCTCTTTGTGGTTGTTGTTGATTTGCAGTAGCAGCAGCAGTCGTAGGCGCGTTGGCATTCTCTGTTGTTGGCGACGACAAGCTGATGCGCAGATTTCGCATTCGTTCCGAGGCACCTTCCATGCTGAGCCGGCTAAACAAACCACTTCCGCCCTCTCGAGTACTACTAATGCTGTCATGGAACGACGACGATGAGGCAGGGGTCAATCCTTGCAAATCCACAATCGACAGCAATCGTTGCAATCGATCTTGGGATTCCTTCCTGGGAGATACTTTGGTATTCAACAATATCTTGTACACGAAAGATTGCGGCATTTGTTGTGATGATGACGACAGATTGCTGCTGTCTCCGGTAGCCGATGATTGAAGCACAGGTCCTATCGAGTCGTCCTCGTATTCATCACCATATTCATAATCATCTTCCAGTTCCAACTCTTCATCAGACTCTTCTTCCATTTCTTTTTCCTGCCGCATAAAGGCATAGGCTGGCTCGTAACTACACAATCTCAACAACAAGACAATGGCCCGATCTTGGACTCCTAGATGGTTGGAATGCACCCGCATGGCCTGCAAGGCCAGTCGCAATGCATTTCCTTCATACAAGACTTGGCGAATCCATTTTGTAGCATTGTTGTTGTTGTTGTTGTTGTTGTTGTTGTTGTTCGAGTCCGAGTTCGAGTCGCCTGGGGCATCCACAGCGTAATCGTCCAAGGCCGCCAATCGTCCAAAAGCATCGCATCCATAGGCTTGAATGGGAGCGTCCTGCACATGAATCGACATGACCAAACCAATCACTCGAACCATGGCCACCAAGGTCGGTTCTCCATTTGGTTGTTGTTGTTGTTGTTGTTGTTGTTTGCCATTATTGGTATTGCCCGAACTCGTTTTTGCTTCCTGCAGGGCCAACCGAATCGACTTGGCCGCTTCTTCGGGCAAGGTCGTGTCGACAATCCCAATGGCCGTGGTGGTACGAAGGGACAACAAATTTCGGAGAGTGGCCATGCAGGGATCTTGGATGGACGTGTGATCCAAATGGCATTGCATAATTCTCAACAACACGGCAAGACCACCCTCTTGAATCATGGCATTGGCAAAATCAATGGAAATTCTCGAGACGTGTTTCAATAAATTGCAACCCACTTGGGCAATTTCATCATTTTTGCAATGCAAATGAAGGGCCGTCAAAATGCAATAAATGACATGGGGTAATCCCAAGGCATGACTGGCTTGGAGTGCATTATTCGTATTGTTGTTGGGCTGTTTGGTCGATTTCAAAAAGGAAGAGGAACCGCCAGTGGCAGTGGCAGTGGGACTCGTGTTGGGACTTGCAGCAGCAACAGCAGCCCCAGGTCGATGATTTTGGCTGACATTGTTGGTGGCCACTCGTGTCATGACTAGCAAACCATACTTTTGAACTTCCAAATTGGTTGGATGGGCCATCATGCCCGTGACCAAACCTTGGACCATTTGTTGAGGTCGTGCAATTTGCTGTAGAATGAGTGGAGGACACACGGGCAATAAATTGTAAAGGCAGGCATTGGCATAGTGTTGCAAGATAGCATCGTCCGGATGCGCTTGATTGGCCTTCCAAATAACTTCGACAAATCCCGCCGCGACCAATTCTTGCAGGAGTGGATTGGACAAGTGATATACCATCTTGCAAGCATACCGTTGAATTTGTGGTTGTGTTGCCGAACTCATGATATTGTGTACAAGTGGATTGGCAATGGGCAAGAGATAGTCGTTTTTAATGGCATCCGAGGCATTGTCCGACAAGTTGGCCAAACAGTGCAAGGCCATCGATGGTGTCTTTTGCAAGGCTTCTTCCTCTTCGGAAGTTGATGATGATGATGGAGAGGAGGAGGTCGTCCCATCGTCATCCTTCTTTTCATCGCCACAAGGACCCACTGTGGATGGTATTGTTGTGGTTGATGTGTTGGTAATAGTAGTAGCAGCAGCAGCAGCAGCAGCAGCAGAATTGACTGGACTGTTGGAGACGAGAAATTTCTGTGACAGACACGCCTTGCGCAAGAGATTGGTGATTGGTTTCAAGGTTCCTGTCGAGACAAACAAGGTCTTGGCGGTAGGTTGCATGGCCGCCTTGGTGAGAACCTCCAAGGAAGCATTGACCAACTTGGCGTCTTTGAAGGTTTTATGCGGCTCGTTTGCTTGGGGCAAGGAAAATGTCAGCACTTGGACGAGTGTTTGGAGTGTGGTTTGAATTTCCCTATCTTGGAGTATTTGGGGCACCGCTTGGGCAACATCGTTGCGTATAGTATCCTTTGCATGGACGTCATCTTGACTATCAGTATAATCTGCCAGCTCCTTTTGCCATTGCAGTACTTGCTTTGACAAAGAATTCATTGACGAGGATTCCGGCGGTTTGCTGGAATTTTGTGAACTCATTTTTGTGGTTTTTGTTTTCGTGTTTTTTGTTGTTGTTGTTGTTGTTGTTGTGACAAACAAAATACTGCAGTTGCACACTTTTGATGAGTTGATTGCAATGGATTGATTAACAATGTTTTGATAGTGCAATGGTTTCACGATCTCTTGGATCTTGCTTTTGCTTGGGTACAAGTACCGTATTCTCAAGATTGTTGAGAAGCTACAGAGGTATGTCGGAGTTGGACCCACCAGGTAAATCTTTTGGTCGAACGTCGTTGTTGTTTGCACATTTTTTGATTTGATCGCACCAGAGCCGGCTCCTTACCACATGTTAAAAAAATGACAGAGCCGGCCCAGATCACGATTCAGTCGAATGAATCACGACCTGACCCAAAATGCGAGGTCTGATTTTCAATCTTGGCATTAAACCATAGAGTTTCTGAACTTTGATTTGATTGGTTTGTTGTTTTCTTCGGTGTTGGCACGAATAGCTTCCTCATTAACGCACTCAGAACAACGAACAACAACGACCATCAAATGCGAAACATGGCAATAGACAAGCCATTGCCAACGATTTCGTTGGAAAAAGAGTTGCGGGACCGTCAATTCTCACGTCATTCAGACGGTCCATAGCCATCATCAATCGTACCGGTACTGCAAGTCGACGACAACCTTTGTAGGAGAGTCAAGGAAAGAGGTTTTCAGTGCCCGAACAACCTTGAGTACAACAACAAAAGATGCCTCCAACAACGTCATCCTCAGTCATCACAGACTTTCAAAATCAAAATGGGGTTTCTGCCATGATGTGCGACCCTTCGGCCTCTGACAACAACAATCCTTTGTTGAAACTAGCATCATCTGCATTATCATCAAACCCCACGGCCCTGAGCATGCAGGCGCAATATGCCCTAGCATTGCAGCAACATCAGCATCAGCATCAGCAACAACAACAACAACAGCAAATATTGCAGCAACAACAACAAATTCAGCAGCAACAACAGCACCAACAGCAACAGCTTCAGCAACAACACATGTTGCAACAAGCTGCACAATCACTGCAATACTCTACCATGGGTCCTACTCCTCAAACCCAACAGCAGCAGCAGCAACAACAACAGCAGCTCATGGCACAACTGATTGCCAGCGGTGCCACTTCCAATCAGACCGCAGCAACTCTCCAAGCAGCAGTTTTGTTACAGCAACATCAGCAACAACATCAACAACAACAAATATTGCAGCAGCAATTGCAATACTTGGCCGCATCACAAGGACAACACCACCAGATGACGACTTCTCCTCACAATTTGATCCCAAAGCATCTACAAGACACGACTTTGGAGGCATCCATGGATGGAACTCCAGGGTATCAACCCGCGGTGATCCTGCCCCCTACTTCCACTTCATTGTCGTCGTCGTCGTCATCCTCTTCTTCTCCTTCCGGCAACAACAACAACAACAACAACACCAATAATGCTTTACCTGCGAACAACATTATCACCAACTCCGCACCAAATCACCAACCGTCCAATCTGAATCTGGATCTGAATCTGGATCTGGGTCAGCTTGCTCAACTGGCAGCATCCATACCGTGGGCAACTGCAATTCCTCGCGCTCCCTTGACACTCCAGGAAGACATGCTATGCAATAGCTTTCCTCCCATTTACAATGGAGTCAATTTGCAGTATCCCGGCTTGAGGCAGCTGCGTTCCTCGCCTCCTGTCTATGTGGTGGACAATTTCTTGACGCCGGCGGAATGTCAATTTTTGATTCATGCCGCAACCGATGTCTTTCAACCAGCCCCCGTGGTGGGTCAAGGCATTGGAGAAATCTCTCCCAGCCGGACTTCCAGTACTTGCTATCTGGCACGAGACGATCTACCCGAATATCTGCGCAAAGTGCGCCTCCTAACAGGAAAACCAATCAGTCATTGCGAATTGCCGCAAGTGGGCCGGTATTTTCCATCCCAACGCTATTTGCAACATTTTGATGCCTTTGATTTGAGTGATGCCAATGGTCGGCGATTTGCCTCCAATGGTGGACAACGGGTCGTGACAGTCCTGGTTTACCTAAACACCTTGACGGAAGAACAAGGGGGTGCGACTCACTTTCCCAATTTGAACATCAAAGTCCAACCCCAGCAAGGCATGGCGCTCGTCTTTTTTCCATCCACCGTCGATGGACTTTTGGATCGACAAGCCTTGCACGCTGCCTTGCCTCCTCTGGGCAACGCCACGAAATATGTTTCTCAAGTTTGGATCCGACAATCGGATTACAAGGGGGATCCGTCCAAACGACTCAATCCCATCATGGGGATTCAAAATTATCAACCTCCCAGTGTCATGGACGTCTTGCAACTCAAGGCAGCCGCGGGAGCCAGTTGTTTGACGTGACGACAAACGACGAACGACACTAATAATAAATTGTGTCTGAACAAAATCACTCACTGTTTTTTATAATAAATATATATATATATATAATAACTGCGCCTAGTAGGATATATGAGGCACGCAATATGACGAACTACAATCATAATACTAATGATATATATAAAGCAAAAGCTAGCAATACATATATAGTAATGAATACTATTCTATCTATTTTTAGTTGTCGTGTGAGGCAGGTGCTACGGCTCGATCCAGTGCTATTCGTAAGCTTCGCCACAGTGGGAGCCATAGATATGGCGTGTGACAATAGTGAGTGCACTCATTCGGATGCAAGTAATGCAACGGAACTGTATAATCTCGAAAGGGCAAAAATACAATTTCGTTTGTCTCCTTGTCTTGGGCCGAAAAGTCTGGTTCGGCGAGACTTCTCCATTGCAATCCGGCATTTTCAGCCGCTTGTTGCATAATGGGCATGCGATATCCAGCTTGGTGATCGGGATGTATTGGTACACAGTTCTTTGATTTTGCTTCCAAGCCGTAATGGCCTCCATCCGAATCAATGTGCTGTGCCGATGTTTCTCGCCATGCAAGCATTGTCAGATTGGCATCTTGGAAGCCTTGCAAGTATCTAGTCATGGCCTCTGCAAATCTAGCCTGTTCCTTTGGTTTCCAATGCAGACCGTGATCGAATATGACAATATCACTATGCGGCAAAATAATCTCTTTCAGATCCAGATTGCTAGGGTCTGGTCGATACATGCCAAAATGGTTGAATGTTGCGGTTTTCATGTTTGTCGGGTTGGTCACGGTAAACACCATCCATTCACCAATACAATCACGCCATGAACAGCCTTCACGTTTGGTTACTGATGATTTCTTGGACCGAACCATGTAGCCTCGCCGCAGTAGCTCACACTCTAGGCCTGCATTGGATTGCCGAGTGAGTGAATCTCCCACAAACGAGAGCGTCAAGTTCAGTTCCATGAGCGTCTCGACAATGGAACAAGCATCACATTCATCATCTTTATCTCTGGCCAAATAGGGTTTCTTCAAATACTCCATTGCATACTCCTGGACTATTTCATATGGCTCTGTCGAGTTGCAAACGCCTTCAAAAAATAACAGCCTTCCTCCTGCTGAATAACTCCCAGGACAGCAATGTTTTGGAATTCCTCGATGGGGTGTTTGGCATGCTCGAGTCTCAATCGCGATTTTCTCCCACGAGAAAAGCGGTTGTATCGTTACATTTCTATTTCCAACCAAATCGGCATCTGGTTTCGAGTGAGGCAGTATTGACTCTTTTCCTTGGTTTCTTACTGAGTCTTTGTTTGATGCACTTTCTTGGTTTGCGGTTGCTTGGTATTGGTCATATTGCTCTAGCAGAAGACTCTTTTGGATCGTTGTGAGGTGTTTGACATTTTCGATTCGTCTCCTAACTTTTTCTGGCGATTCCTTGTTCACCCTTTTCCAAAACCCTGCTGTGTCCTGAAGACGAGGAACACCAACATCCCTTCTCAATTTGAGCGGTGGAGGATCATCCAGCGTGAAACTTCGTATTGTCACTACACCCGGATCATTTGTCTCGACTTCCATGGTTCTTCGATTGTAGGTACCCTGCGAGTATTCATACAATCGCAGCATCTCCTCTGCTGATTGACCCAAAAGATTGGACAAAATTCCAAGCTGTCCTCCCAGCAAGAAACTACAAGTCATTGCGAATAGCACAACAACCGATAAGCGCCATGATACTGTATGACATTGCGGTGCATGCTGAAACTTTTGGAATATCTTCATACTCCTGTCTTTGGTCGTTAGTCCAGTACTCGTACTGAACTAGAAATCAAATGTACCAGTACAGTTTACAGTACGCAGTACAGTATGGTTTCAGTTTTCATCTGGTTTTGGCAGGGTCCTCAGATTTTGAAATTCAAAATCTCATGCCTGTAGCCATCATCGTCTATACTTCGTCCGTCAAACAGAAGTCGACATCCAACTCTTGTCTAAACGTGGTCGGAAAGTGCACATTCCCGCTCAAATCCTTTTTCGCGTAGGCATTTCTGACAGAAAAAGCGTTCGCATGAATGACTTTTAGCGTTTCGAACTGGTGGTCAAGCGGAATACTTAACAAACCACTTCATTTTGAGACGACCAAAATTGTTTGGGCCTTCCTCTTAAAGAATTCCGGTTTCCAGCGAAAGCACAGAAAGTACCTGTGACATGAGGAACATTCAATACAGATGAAGTTGCTGGTATCTGACTTCTGAAGCATTCCAACTGATGGATCTTTTGATCAAACCTGCATTGAAGAATTTCGAGAAGAACTTCAAAAGATGTCAAGACAAAAGGCGAAACAATTCCATCGCATACTGTAGATCAACACACCACAATTTTTTATATAGCTCTGATCTCTGATGACGATGAATATAATCTTCTTTATGGCATGGCTTGCCATCGCCACTCAAGTAATATCAGCAGTATACCGACCGCCGCTTCCCGATAACTGGTCTCCAGATGAGCACTGGCAACTGGGAGAACTGAACTGTGCCCAAGGATTCCGAGAGTTTTCCTCAAGAACCCAAAAGGAAACATACTATGTTGGAGTGTATGCTCCTGCTGGAGTGGAAACTGCCTATCAAGAGTTCAATCAGACATTTGAAACTTATTTGAACGAAGTTGTCGGCAAACGTTTCGAGCCTAACATTCAATTTAAGATGAAGGCATCCGAGAACCCTCTTCTGGATTGGATCGACAACGACGAAGAAATTGATTTCATGTATACTGATCCAGGGGTCTTCTCGTGCATGGGAATCGAGATTGGGGCTCAAGCACTTGCCACGACGATCGCTAGAATGTCATCAAGAGGCTTGGAGTACAATACAGATGTGTTTGCTGGGTCAATGATTGCGTTGAATAGCAACAAAAAAATCAACACTGTCCTTGACCTGAAGGGGAAGGTCATTGGGGCACAAGACTTTTCTGATTTTGGCGGAGCACAGGCCCAGTTCTATGTGATGAAGCAACATGGCGTCGATTTCATTGTGGACCCAAAAGAAGTCATTTTTACAGGTGAGCAGCCAGTAGTGTGAATGTTGCTCTACTACTAATCTGCTGGACTTTCTGAACTCTAACACGATTCAAAACTTTACTTTGACATACTACTCTAGGCAATCACCAAGATACAATTCAAGGGGTTTTGGATGGAAAATGGGACGTTGGGTTCGTCCGCACAGGTGTTATTGAGAGAACTATTGATCCAGCAACAGGAAAGATCATTGATCCGCACAAGATCAAGATCATTCAACCACAGATCCACGTCAACGACGATGGATCAATGTTCCCATTCCTGCACTCCACCCCAGCTTTTCCAGAATGGCCACTGTCTGCCAAGAGTTCAGTGGATAGGATTGTGGCAGAAGAAGTCGCTCTTGCGATGATCAACTTTTGGTATCACGACCTCGTTGGAGAAGAGATTCATCATTGCCAGGAAGAAGCCGAAACTGCGGAAGCATTGCAATTGTGCAATACTATGCCTCCCGTATACTTTGATTCTGCTGCTCGCTGCGATACAACAAGAGAATTAGCTGAACTCACTTATCAAGCAGGAAGAGCTGGCCATCACAGGGGATTCCGGCCACCACGATCTCACGCTTCTGTGCGCACTATGCAACAAGATGAGGGATTCCTTCTTCAAAATGAATACGGTAAGTATAACAATGTTGAATTCGCTGGCCAATACTGACGACTGCAAGGCTCAATTAGAAATATTTCGTTGTCTCGCTCCCCACGACACTAGGTGAATGGCATTGTGAACGTGCCGACTCGCTTTATGACGGAATCCATTGCCCTGTGGGATTCTACAAGGTACCAAAGAAGACATTCGATCGACAGTGCGAACTAAGCGGAAGTCCATGCCCAGAGGGATACAATTGCTACTGTAAACCATGTGTTCAGGCTTCGGATGTCGCCGTCTTTCCGTGGCACGATGATGGGTCGGGGGATAACGAATTTGACGTTACTCGTGACCTTGGCTGCTTTAAAATGGATATCTGCGGTACTTTTGAACAAAGACGAGAAATCATGTATCATGTGTATGACAACAGACACAGAGAGAACAGTATAGTTGAGGCAATTTTGCATCTTGGTGACGAAGAGAGATTATTGCCAGTTCACCAGATCGAACCATACCTCTACGAGTTCAGCTTTAGCCACAATACACGAGGTACTGCCATATTGGAGCTCTCCTTCGATGGAGTCCAGATCCCCGAGTCGCCAGTTCAGGTCGAGATCATCGCGAGAGATTGTGAGAAAGAGTATCCAGGTCAAGGACGAATTCCGGTATGTACTTCGTCGCATGGTTTTGTCAAATTCCAACTCGAATCGATTCATTCTAAAACCGACACTTTTCACAATACTATTTAGAATGAAATTGGAGTATGCAAGTGCCATGCTGATGCACTTGCGGTCAATGATAGATGCATTGGCGGTGATATTGACGAAGTCAGCGTATCACCCTTGAGTGACGAGTTCAATCACACTGAAATAGCATTCGACTGGATTCAGCATGGGGGGGTAAGTGAATCCAGTGTTTTGTGTGTCTGAAGTGGATGCGGCATACAGCTAACATGTTTTATTCCAATATAGTGCGAAAAAATGTCTCTTTGTGGCGTAGTGGAACAAACAAAAGAAATGATCATCCGAGCCGTAGATAATCGACACCGACCAAACGCAACAGTTGCGGCGATCATGCATGTCGGGCATGAAGCACGATCACTTCCAGTCCGCACTATAGCCCCATATCTGTATGAGTTTTCTTTCTCTGACATGAGACGAGGTGTTGCGATCTTGGAGCTGTATGTTGACGGTTTTCAAATCCCCGAATCGCCTCTGCGAATCCAAGTAATTGAAAAAGACTGCGACGAGGAGTTCCCCAATCGAGGAATGGCACCCGATGATGTTGGTGTATGTATATGCGCCGAGGGTACAATTCACATTGCAGGTCAGTGCATGGCATCCGGTACATTTGCGGCGATTGTAGCTTCGGTAGCCCTCCTCGTGGTATTTCAACTTGGGGGTTGCTACTTGAGTTATAAAAGAAGAAAGAACGACGAGATCTGGCAAGTGAACCATGAAGAGTTAGACTTCGACCACCCTGTGCAAATTGTCGGACAAGGAGCATTTGGAGTAGTGATCTTGGCTGACTATCGTGGAACAAGAGTCGCCATCAAACGAGTCCTTCCACTTGAAGTAAAGGCAAAAATAGGAAATTCCAATAGCGCCGCCGCACGAAGCGATTCCAAGGCGAGTGCGGATATTGAATCTGGGGCCAACTCTGGTGCTACTCCAAAGAAGAATTCAGGAATCAATGATAACAAGATTGAAGGTGATTCATCCTTTGATAGTTTCGACAACGATAACGACACTGGTGCACCGAAAACAACACTTGCGAGATGGATTCCATCACTTGGGAGTAATAGAACGTCGACCAACTTGACCATTCTGAATATGTCCACTACTGGAGGTTCGACAACGAGAGCACTGGTTGCAAGGGTTCTCCCCTGGTGTGATAAGAACCACCGTAGACATGAAGAGTTTGTGAAGGAGATGAGACTGCTTTCTCGGCTACGTCATCCATGTATCACGACGGTTATGGGTGCAGTGATGAGCGGACGAGACCCAATGATGGTAATGGAGTATATGGAAAATGGTTCACTCTATGATTTGTTGCGAAACGACACTGCGTACACGGGTGGGGAAATCATCATGCAGATCGTCAAAGATATTGCTCAAGGATTGAGATTCTTGCACGCCTCGAAGCCACCAACTCTGCACCGGGATCTCAAAGCAAAGAACATTCTCATTGATTCTCGCTTTCGGGCCAAAGTAGCTGACTTTGGACTAGCGATCAAGAGATCTAACGGGCTGTCGGGAACACCGTTTTGGATGGCTCCAGAGTACTTGAGTGGGAATAAAAAGTACAGCAGTGCTTGTGATGTCTACTCTTTCGGAATGATCATCTATGAGATCTACAGTCGCAAGATCCCATACGAAGGAGCCAACCCTAGAAAAGTCTTGAGGAAAGTTTGCAATCCAAGGATTAACTACCGTCCACGTATCCCGGTGACCTGCCCAAAGAGAATGGCGGACATTATGAAGAAGTGCTGGAGCCCCAATCCATCGTTTCGCCCCGAATCCAAGGACTTGGATATGATGTTTAATGACATGAACTCAAACGACGCGGAGCCACTGATTGACGAAGGGAATACACGATTGCGAACAGAGGTTGCCGCTGGAGATATGTTGTACAAGGTCTTCCCCAAGAAGGTCGCCGATCAGCTCAAGGCTGGCCAAAAGGTCGAACCAGAAACTCACAGCAACGTGACAGTGTTTTTCAGTGACATTGTTCGTTTCACAGACATCTCACGAGCCATGTCAGCAGTAAAAGTGTGCAACATGTTGGATCGTCTCTATATGGCATTTGACAGCTTGGCCGACAAACACGAAGTCTTTAAAGTGGAAACCATTGGCGATGCATGGGTAGGAGTCACAAACTTGGACGGAAACCAGAATAGTACACATGTGAAGCGAATTGCTGAGTTTGCAATCGATGCAGTTGTTGCGGCCTCTCAAGTGCAGATTGATGAAGATGATCCATCTGCCGGATGTGTCCACATTCGAGTTGGCTTCCACTCTGGATCCGTTGTGAGTAATGTGATCGGATCGTTGAATCCAAGGTATGGACTCTTCGGAGACACAATGAATACCGCCTCTCGAATGGAGAGCTTGTCAGTGAGTGGCCAGATTCATTGTTCGGAGGTATCTGCACGACTTTTGAAGGAGCAGGCACCAGACCTTCCCATCCGCAAGCGTGGTAAGGTTGCAGTCAAGGGGAAAGGCAACATGATCACATTTTGGATAGGCGAACCCGCCATGAGTCGGGAAAACGGACTGGATGGAAGCAATCATAGTAATAGGTCGCTGAAGTCCATTGCGAAAGGAGGCTTTGATGATAAGCCTACCGTTCAATTCGTCTCGCCGTCAGCCGAAAAAACGGTGCAAAAACGAATCCGAGTCTCGAGAACAGGTAAAAAGAAAGGGGCGGCGGTGAAGGTTGATATGGACGGTTCACTCAGGTCGGCATTGAAAGATTCTTCGGATTCCGTCCCAATCAACTGGATGAATCATCACGGGAAGAACAAGAAGAAGGGACTCCTCGCCATGAAATTTTCGACGAGCAACTCGTTGTCTCAATAAGGTTTTGAAATTTTTGATTCTACGCATGGAATTATTACATATTAAAATATAATCCAATTGGCTTGTACTTAAAATTCAATCGGCTTTGTACTTGATTCATTCTAGTTCTCTATCAGCTGCGTGGTATTTGTTGGCAACGTCGGATGGGGTTGGATGGTGGTGTACGCTATCCAGTACGTGACGTATGGATGGTACCACACTTGACTACAGTTGGTTTCCAGTGAAGCACACAGGTGCCGGCTCTGTCCCATCCAATTGGAATCATTTTGGGAGGAACAAGAACAAAGGACGACGATGTCCTCTATGAAAACAGTTTCTATGCATAGTATCGGGGCATGGTTTCTTTTATCAAAAATACATTATTCAGGTTTTTGTACATTATATTGGTCTATCTAGACTCCGATACCATTCGGCAATGTCGGTGCTGGATGCGTTGTGAAACAGAACTCCTGGTACTGAAGAGCGTTGGCAAATCGTGAAATGATTTGTGGGACTCCTCGCCCCCACGCCAACAGTGATTTCCCGCCCGGTGTTGGCCGTGTGATGGCAAATCGTGAAATGATATGTGGGACTCCTCGCCCATATGGTGTTGGCGCTTCCTTGGTGTTGGCCGTGTGATAGAAGATCCAAGATTGATTGGAGAACCACCGGACTTTTAAAAAATCAATATATAATGAGAAATTCGAACATAAAATTTCGCTCTTTAATTACGTCACGAGTCTCTGTCGTCTATTGTTTTACCGCTAATAAGTGGCAAGACAATGATGCCAGGAATAGAGAGAACCGGCTCGCGGCTAAAACATTATGGCCCGCATGATGTTGGTTGAGACGTTCGTATTGTACATTTCATTATTTTCACGAACGAACAATCATGAATTGTTTTCTTCGAGCCTTAGTGCTGTTGCTGGTGATCCTACCAGCAGGACTATGTCAACTAATGAATGACTGGGACGAAGATCCATGGGAGGCGCAAACTCTGAATTGTGAGCAAGGCCTCAGAGAGTTCAATCCAGTCACGCAGAAGCGGAAGTATACCATTGGGATTCATGCTCCCGCTGGAGTGGAAACGGCATATCGAGAGTTCAATCTTACGTTTCAGGACTACTTGAATGAAGCGGTGGGAAAACGATTTGAACCGCCCATTGAGTTCAGTCTCACGGCTACGAATCGGCCGCTCCGTGACTGGTTGGATCGAAAAGAGGAAATTGACTTTGTGTACACTGATACGGGCATTTTTTCGTGCATTGGAATCGAAGTTGGAGCTCAGCCTCTCGCCACTACCGTTTCCCGACTGACATCCCGAGGACAACAGTACGATCTTGATGTCTTTGCAGGAACAATGATGGCACGGGCGGACAACAAAGATATTAATACTGTGGCTGACCTGAAGGATAAGGTGATTGGTGCTCAGAACTTTTTTGATTTCGCTGGAGCCCAGGCTCAGTTTTTCGTCATGTACAAGAATGGTGTGGACTTCATAGTGGACCCAAAGCAAGTGATTTTCACAGGTACGTTGGTATTGTATTGTATCTGACTATGTTCACCTATCATTCAAAGAAACTAACGACTGTTCTTTTTGTGTACAATTAATAGCCAACAATGAAGACACATTGCAAGGTATTCTAGATGGGCGATGGGATGTTGGATTTGTCAGAACGGGTCAAATTGAAAGAACGATCAACCTCAATACTGGTGATTTCATGGATCCAGACCTTGTGAAGGTCATTGACCCCCTTATTCATCGGCTAGACGATGGGACTCTCTTTCCCTTTTTACACACTACTCCGGTCTTTCCAGAGTGGCCATTGGGCGCTCGCAATCATGTTGACCGAATCGTGTCCGAAGAGGTCGCTTCCGCAGTGATCAATATGGGATATCACTCTAGCATTGGTGAAGCGATCCACAAGTGCCGTGACAAGGCCAGAACCACTGCGGAGATGGAAATCTGTGACACCATGCCACCGACTTACTTTGATCCCAAAGCAAGATGTGATACGACGAGGGAGCTTGCCGAGCTGGCTTTGGCCGCTGGAAAGGCAGGGTTTCACAATGGTTTTCGTCCACCAAGATCCCATTACTCCGTCCGAACAATGCAACAGGATGCTGGTTTCATTGTCCAAGACGAATTTGGTAAGAATGTAATTCGACTCATTAGACTTTGTATGTCTGATCATCTCATGGTTCCTAAAAATCGCATCTCAATAATACTGTATGTACTGCACTATATATCTTCTGCAGGTGATTGGCGCTGTGAACGAGATGACACTTTCTATGATGGTATCTTCTGCCCAGAAGGCCACTACAAGGTTCCAGAAGAAGTATTTGAGTCTCAATGTGAAATCGCTGGGACCCCTTGTCCGGAAGGCATTTACACTTGCTATTGCAAACCATGTGTCAAAGCCTTTGAAGTCAATGTGTATCCAGCGCAGACCAGCGAGTCTACCGTCATTTCTGACTTTAATCGAGAAGTTGGATGCGCCAAAATGGACGTATGCGCGAGTGTGGAACAAGGAAAGACCATCACTTTGCATGCTTTTGATAATCGCCAACGACCAAATGCAAACATTCGAGTGGTACGTCACTTCGGTGACGAAGACTTAGAGCTCTCTGTGAATCGTGTGGAAGACTTTCTCTATGAGTTTGGGTTCTCGCATAGTATTAGGGGAATTGTGATTCTGGAGGTCTACGTTGACGGTGTCCAAATATCCGAGTCTCCTATTCAAGTCAATGTCGTTGAACGGAATTGTGATGCAGATTTTCCCGGAGAAAATCGGAATTCGGTAAGCCTTATAGCTTGGCGTTATTTGCTCAATCGATATATCATCTTCTCACCCAAGTCTGAACTGTAGTCAGCCACTGGTGAATGCGAGTGCTCACCTGGATTCATTGAAATTAGAAACGAATGTGTTTCGGACTCTGCTCATGAAGTTAGCGTCTTTCAACTTTCAAATGAGACGTTGGCTGAGCTAGACGACCCCATCAACAAAGTGCATTATATAGGCTGTGATAAAATGAGTCTCTGTGGAATTGTGGAACAGACCAGGGATATTGTTTTCGTGTTGTATGACAACCTTGAACGACAGAATGCTTCTCTCTCGGTGATCATGCATCTCGGACACGAAGAAACCCTCCTCCCAGTGCGCAGCATGGAACCATTTGTGTACGAATTCGGATTCGCTAGAAATCAAAGAGGCGTTGCAATTCTGGAAATATATGTTGATGGAGTCCAAATTCCAGAGTCTCCGGTTCGAGTTCAGATTACATCCTTGAACTGCGATGATGACTATCCTGGTCGAGGCATGATAGCGGTACGTTGACCTTCCTTTCGAAAACATCCATTGGACGGACCATCGGACTCTAACACTCTTACTTTTGTCTCTGCAGAATGATGCTGGCTTTTGCGAATGTTCCGTGGACTCGCTGGAGTTTGGAGGGCAATGCATGCAAACTGGGACTTTTGCTGCTATCATGGCTTCAATCGCCGCATTGATTCTGATCGCTCTTGGCTGGTGCTATTTGGGCTACAGAAGACGAAAGAGTGATGAAATGTGGCATATTGACCATAAGGAACTGAACTTCAATCACCCTGTGGATGTTGTCGGCCAAGGCGCCTTTGGGGTGGTGCTTTTGGCTGACTATCACGGAACCAAGGTAGCGATCAAGCGAGTCATACCAGACGAAGACGCACCGCCATCTGGATCAGTTGCGTTCAATCAGTCTCATAGGGAAGGAGACGATTCTGGATCGTCTCCGGGTCGTAGTACCGACGAGGAAAATATGGTTACACCTTCAAGTAGTCAAGAAGAAACTCATCCAGCGAGTGCAGATGCAGGAAGTATGGATAAGAGTCTCTCCGTTGATCATGTTAACTGGATCAATGGCATGGTTGTTGGAGGCAAGAAATCGTTCTTCCAACGCACTTTTCCTTCGCTATTCCCTGATGAAAGAACCCGCGCCAAGCTCCGCATACTCGGGGCTCGGCCTGCTAGACAACGAAGGAGGAACTCTCTCAGGTCTTGCCTTCCTCTTTGCGATGATAACTCAAAACGGCAACAAGAGTTTGTTACTGAGATGAGACTTCTTTCACGACTACGGCATCCGTGCATCACAACAGTCATGGGAGCCGTCATGAGCACGTATGCACCCATGATGGTGATGGAATACATGGAAAACGGGTCGCTGTATGATTTGTTGCGCAACGAAACTGTTTACACTGGAGGCGAGATCATTCTACAAATCATGAAGGATATAGCCCAGGGTCTACGATTTCTACATGCTTCCAATCCTCCGATTTTGCATCGCGATCTGAAGGCGAAGAATATTCTAATTGACTCTCGCTTCCGCGCCAAAGTAGCGGACTTTGGCCTGGCGATCAAAACCAAAAGTGGGACGACTGGCACACCATACTGGATGGCACCCGAATATTTGCTTCAGAATACGACGTACAATCGATCATGCGACGTTTACTCATTCGGTATGATAATCTACGAGATCTACAGTCGCAAAATCCCGTACGAAGGTATTCAACCAAGCGAAGTATTGAGGAAAGTTTGCGATCCCAGGATCAACTACCGGCCACGAGTTCCTGTGACCTGTCCTAGGAGAATGGCGGAACTGATGAAGAAGTGCTGGAGTGGCAATTCAGCTTTTCGGCCCGAAGCCAAGGACTTGGATATGCTCTTCACTGATATGACAGCAAACGATGCCGAGCCATTGATCGAAGAAGGAAATACACGATTGCGAACTCAGGTAGCTGCTGGGGATATGTTGTACCAGGTATTCCCCAGAAAGGTTGCCGATCAGCTCAAGGCTGGTCAAAAGGTCGAGCCAGAGACGCACGACGATGTTACAGTGTTCTTTAGTGATATTGTCGGCTTCACGGACATCTCGAGAAAGATGTCTGCGGTGAAGGTGTGCAATATGCTTGACCGTCTCTACCTTGCATTTGACAACCTGGCCAACAAACATGACGTGTTCAAAGTGGAAACGATTGGGGATGCTTGGGTTGGAGTCACGAACTTGGAAAATAATCAGCTTGGAACACACGCAAAGCGGATTGCCGAGTTTGCGATTGATGCGGTGGATGCTGCTTCTGAAGTACAAATTGACGAGGATGATCCCTCAAAGGGATGTATCCACATCCGAGTCGGCTTTCACTCGGGTCCAGTTGTGAGCAATGTGATTGGTTCTTTGAACCCGCGGTATGGACTCTTTGGTGACACGATGAATACTGCAGCTCGGATGGAGAGTATGTCGGAGAGTGGCCGTATCCATTGTTCAGCGGCAGCTGCCCGACTGCTGAAAGAGCAGGCACCAGACTTGCACGTTCGCAGACGAGGGAAGGTTGCGGTCAAGGGGAAAGGCAATATGGTGACATATTGGGTTGGTTGTTCTAACGACGATAGCAGATCAATGGACGGTTCTCTTGATATCCCCATGGGCACCTCCCTTGACAAGCGATCCAGATCTACTAGTACGGGAAGACAAAAGAGAAAGAAGTGGACGCCACTCAGCAGAAAGCAGCCAAGAAACCCTTCGCCAAGCAATGGTTCCAATATTCGAGACTTGTCGGACTCTGTCCCCGCGAACTGGAAGGCTTCTCCACAATCATCCTTCCCTGCTGTCGATAGTGCCTTTTCGCAATAGGATTATTGGAGCTCTGATACAGAGTTGCACTCGTGTTAATAATATGTGACTGTTTTATCCGAGCTCGGGAAGCCATGCATATGAATAGGAATACACATGATGAATAAATATTTTTACAAATTGAGTAGCTATGATCGAAATTTTTATTTCACAATAAAATATAGGACTGATGAACTTCCATAGCGTTGTTCGACGGCAGATTCGGGGTCTCCAGCTGGCAGTAGTTCAATGGTGCATGCTTCTATATTTCAACTTCGTTGCATGAAAACTCAAAGGCTCTAAAAGCCTACAGATATTATGGGATGCTGATGAAGGTTGATATGGACTGCTCACTCAGGTTGGCATGTAACGAGGATGCTTCTTCAGATTCATTCTGTCCAAACCAATTGGCTGGATGAACCATCACGGGAAGAACTAGATGAAGGGACTACTCCCCATGAATTTGAGGGTCAGTTACTCGTTATCTCCATAGACTTTTTGAAAATTCTGATTCTATGATGCATAGAGTGGTCTAAAGGATACACAAAGTAGTACACTATGCAACTGTCTTTTTTCTTTCTAGGTGTCTATAACACACTTTGTGGTATTGTTTGGCAAGGTCGGACGGCTGCATGGTCGTCCAGGCAGTACGTATTCATTCTTCGTATGAGTACTGCAGCTACAACGCAGTGCCCTGCCCATGCGTGGCAATTTCTCCCTCCGCGTGACAGCTCGCAAAAATCGTGATGTCGGACTCTCAACCGATGATCTGATTGACCGGCTGGCTGAGAATCCCCGGCCGGTGTTGGCCGTGACGGAAAGATGAAGCAACACACGATTTGATTCAAATCTTCCCCGGAGAACCTTCGGACTTAATGGAACGGTGTTTCTGTCGCAGGCGAATCTGACATTTTCGATTTATAGCTTATACCAGACATTTAACGAACAGTCAGTTCGTTTTTCGACAGGGTCTTTAATAAAATTTCGTTACGCAATTTCATAAAAAAGAGTCACAATAGAGCGCTAATGTCTTTTAAGAACGTGGTCCATTAAAAGACAAAATGCTTCGCGAGCGGAGTTGGACTTCTAAAACGTTCGCTTGCATGATTCATGGTACTTGAGTTGCGTAGGACGAAGCTAAATTATTATGCCCGACAACGAGAATACCGGCTCGCGGTAACATTTTGGCCCGGTTGATGGCGATTCTCCAAATGCCGAACTTTGAGTACTGCAGTAACTTATTTTCCACAAACAATGACGATGATGAAAGGCTTACCTCAAGCCTTTGTGCTGTTCCTGGTGATCCTACCAGCAGGACTATGTCAACTAATGAATGACTGGGACGAAGATCCATGGGAGGCGCAAACTCTGAATTGTGAGCAAGGCCTCAGAGAGTTCAATCCAGTCACGCAGAAGCGGAAGTATACCATTGGGATTCATGCTCCCGCTGGAGTGGAAACGGCATATCGAGAGTTCAATCTTACGTTTCAGGACTACTTGAATGAAGCGGTGGGAAAACGATTTGAACCGCCCATTGAGTTCAGTCTCACGGCTACGAATCGGCCGCTCCGTGACTGGTTGGATCGAAAAGAGGAAATTGACTTTGTGTACACTGATACGGGCATTTTTTCGTGCATTGGAATCGAAGTTGGAGCTCAGCCTCTCGCCACTACCGTTTCCCGACTGACATCCCGAGGACAACAGTACGATCTTGATGTCTTTGCAGGAACAATGATGGCACGGGCGGACAACAAAGATATTAATACTGTGGCTGACCTGAAGGATAAGGTGATTGGTGCTCAGAACTTTTTTGATTTCGCTGGAGCCCAGGCTCAGTTTTTCGTCATGTACAAGAATGGTGTGGACTTCATAGTGGACCCAAAGCAAGTGATTTTCACAGGTACGTTGGTATTGTATTGTATCTGACCATGTTCACCTATCATTCAGAGAAACTAACGACTGTTCTTTTTGTGTACGATTGATAGCCAACAATGAGGACACAGTGCAAGGTATTCTAGATGGGCGATGGGATGTTGGATTTGTCAGAACGGGCCAAGTTGAAAGAACGATCAACCCTGCTACTGGTGATTTCATTGATCCCGACCTTGTGAAGGTCATTGACCCCCTTATTCATCGGCTAGACGATGGGACTCTTTTTCCCTTTTTACATACTACTCCGGTCTTTCCAGAGTGGCCATTGGGCGCCCGCAATCATGTTGACCGAATCGTGTCCGAAGAGGTCGCTTCCGCAGTGATCAATATGGGATATCACTCTAGCATTGGTGAAGCGATCCACAAGTGCCGTGACAAGGCCAGAACCACTGCGGAGATGGAAATCTGTGACACCATGCCACCGACTTACTTTGATCCCAAAGCAAGATGTGATACGACGAGGGAGCTTGCCGAGCTGGCTTTGGCCGCTGGAAAGGCAGGGTTTCACAATGGTTTTCGTTCACCAAGATCCCATTACTCCGTCCGAACAATGCAACAGGATGCTGGTTTCATTGTACAAGACGATTTTGGTGACTGGCGCTGTGAACGAGATGACACTTTCTATGATGGTATCTTCTGCCCAGAAGGCCACTACAAGGTTCCAGAAGAAGTATTTGAGTCTCAATGTGAAATCGCTGGGACCCCTTGTCCGGAAGGCATTTACACTTGCTATTGCAAACCATGTGTCAAAGCCTTTGAAGTCAATGTGTATCCAGCGCAGACCAGCGAGTCTACCGTCATTTCTGACTTTAATCGAGAAGTTGGATGCGCCAAAATGGACGTATGCGCGAGTGTGGAACAAGGAAAGACCATCACTTTGAATGCTTTTGATAATCGCCAACGACCAAATGCAACGATTCGAGTAGTGCGTCACTTTGGAGACGAAGAACTAGACCTCCCTGTGCGCAGCGTGGAAGACTTTCTCTATGAGTTTGGGTTCTCGCATAGCATTAGGGGAATTGTGATTCTAGAGATTTACGTCGACGGTGTCCAAATATCCGAGTCTCCTATTCAAGTCAACGTTATTGAAAGGAATTGTGAATCAGATTTTCCTGGAGAAAATCGGAATTCTGTAAGTCTTACAGCTTGTTCTTTGCTCATCCAATACATCATCTTCTCACCTAAGCCTGAACCGTAGTCTGCCATTGGAGATTGCGAGTGTTCCCCTGGTTTCATTGAAATTAGAAATGAATGTGTTTCGGATTCCGCCCATGAAGTTAGCGTCTTTCAACTTTCTAATGATACGATAGCTCAACTAGGCGATCCCGTCGCAGAATTGAATTTTGCAGGCTGTGACAAAATGAGTCTCTGTGGAATTGTGGAACAGACCAGGGATATTGTTTTTCTATTGCATGACAACCTTGAACGACAAAATGCTTCTATCTCGGTGATCATGCATCTCGGACACGAAGAAACTCTCCTCCCAGTGCGCAGCATGGAACCATTTGTGTACGAATTCGGATTCGCTAGAAATCAAAGAGGCGTTGCAATTCTGGAAATATATGTTGATGGAGTCCAAATTCCAGAGTCTCCGGTTCGAGTTCAGATTACATCCTTGAACTGCGATGATGACTATCCTGGTCGAGGCATGATAGCGGTACGTTGACCTTCTTTTTGGCAGCATCTCTTGGACGGACCATCGGACTCTAACCATGTTCTTTCTTCTTTTCAGAATGATGCTGGAATTTGCGAATGTTCTGTGGACTCGCTCGAGATTGGAGGGCAATGCATGCAAACTGGGACTTTTGCTGCTATCATGGCTTCACTCGCTGGATTGGTTCTGATTGCCCTTGGCTGGTGCTATTTGGGCTACAGAAGACGAAAGAGTGATGAAATGTGGCACATTGACCACAAGGAACTGAACTTCAATCACCCTGTGGATGTTGTTGGCCAAGGCGCCTTTGGGGTGGTGCTTTTGGCTGACTATCACGGAACCAAGGTAGCGATCAAGCGAGTCATACCAGATGAAGACGCACCATCATCTGGATCGGTTGCGTTCAACCAGTCTTCTAGAGAAGTCGGCGATTCTGGATCGTCTCCGGGTCGTAGTACCGACGAGGAAAATATGGTTACACCACCAAGTAGTCAAGAAGAAACCCCTCCAATAAGTGCGGATGCAGGAAGTGCGGAAAAAAGTCGGTCTGTTGACCATGTTGACTGGATCAATGGCATGGTTGTTGGAGGCAAGAAATCGTTCTTCCAACGCACTTTTCCTTCGCTATTCCCTGATGAAAGGACCCGCGCCAAGCTGCACATACTTGGAAGTGTTGCACGACCTGCTGGGCAACGAAGGAGGAACTCTCTCAGGTCTTGCCTTCCTCTTTGCGATGATAACTCAAAACGGCAACAAGAGTTTGTTACTGAGATGAGACTTCTTTCACGACTACGGCATCCGTGCATCACAACAGTCATGGGAGCCGTCATGAGCACGTATGCACCCATGATGGTGATGGAATACATGGAAAACGGGTCGCTGTATGATTTGTTGCGCAACGAAACTGTTTACACTGGAGGCGAGATCATTCTACAAATCATGAAGGATATAGCCCAGGGTCTACGATTTCTACATGCTTCCAATCCTCCGATTTTGCATCGCGATCTGAAGGCGAAGAATATTCTAATTGACTCTCGCTTCCGCGCCAAAGTAGCGGACTTTGGCCTGGCGATCAAAACCAAAAGTGGGACGACTGGCACACCATACTGGATGGCACCCGAATATTTGCTTCAGAATACGACGTACAATCGATCATGCGACGTTTACTCATTCGGTATGATAATCTACGAGATCTACAGTCGCAAAATCCCGTACGAAGGTATTCAACCAAGCGAAGTATTGAGGAAAGTTTGCGATCCCAGGATCAACTACCGGCCACGAGTTCCTGTGACCTGTCCTAGGAGAATGGCGGAACTGATGAAGAAGTGCTGGAGTGGCAATTCAGCTTTTCGGCCCGAAGCCAAGGACTTGGATATGCTCTTCACTGATATGACAGCAAACGATGCCGAGCCATTGATCGAAGAAGGAAATACACGATTGCGAACTCAGGTAGCTGCTGGGGATATGTTGTACCAGGTATTCCCCAGAAAGGTTGCCGATCAGCTCAAGGCTGGTCAAAAGGTCGAGCCAGAGACGCACGACGATGTTACAGTGTTCTTTAGTGATATTGTCGGCTTCACGGACATCTCGAGAAAGATGTCTGCGGTGAAGGTGTGCAATATGCTTGACCGTCTCTACCTTGCATTTGACAACCTGGCCAACAAACATGACGTGTTCAAAGTGGAAACGATTGGGGATGCTTGGGTTGGAGTCACGAACTTGGAAAATAATCAGCTTGGAACACACGCAAAGCGGATTGCCGAGTTTGCGATTGATGCGGTGGATGCTGCTTCTGAAGTACAAATTGACGAGGATGATCCCTCAAAGGGATGTATCCACATCCGAGTCGGCTTTCACTCGGGTCCAGTTGTGAGCAATGTGATTGGTTCTTTGAACCCGCGGTATGGACTCTTTGGTGACACGATGAATACTGCAGCTCGGATGGAGAGTATGTCGGAGAGTGGCCGTATCCATTGTTCAGCGGCAGCTGCCCGACTGCTGAAAGAGCAGGCACCAGACTTGCACGTTCGCAGACGAGGGAAGGTTGCAGTCAAAGGGAAAGGCAATATGGTGACATATTGGGTTGCTTCTTCCAACGACGATGGAAGATCCGTAGACGGCTCTCTTGACATTCCCATGGGAAGTTCCTTCGGCGAGCAATCCAGATCTAGTAGTGTGGGCAGAAAAAAGAAAAAGAAGTGGACGCCACTCAGCAGAAAGCAGTCAAGAAAATCTTCGAAAAGCAATGGTTCCAATATTCGAGACTTGTCGGACTCTGTCCCCGCGAACTGGAAGGCTCTCCCACCATCATCCTTCCCTGCTGTCGACAGTACCTTTTCGCAATAGGATTATTGGAGCTCTGATACAGAGTTGCACTCGTGTTAATAATATGTGACTATTTTATCCGAGCTCGGGAAAATGCATATAAAAAATGGAATATACTGTACATTATCCAAAAGTAAAAAATGTTACAAATTGAGTAGCTCTCTTGGACAGAATCAAAATGGTTTGGATGAGGTGTATATTCCTACAACGGTTGAAAGTCTTTCTGGTCCATAACTAGTACATTTTAGGTTCGGGAGCTGATTTCGTGGTCATCAGTCGGCAACAGTTCAATGCGTGCTTCCACATTTCCTAGTTCATTCTTGATGGAATTGAACAAAGCCTTGTTGAACATCAAACATGCACCAACTGCAAACGATCCCGTCATCATGAACATAGCTACAACCATCAACAATGTGAATGTCATATACTTGAATTTAGAAGCAAAGCCGCTAAGCTCCAGCTCCCGAGGAAGCATTGTCAGCATCCAAGCAGACGCCCAAATTGCAGCAGCACCTCCTGTAAAGAAAGAGCGCCACCACCATCGATGGTTCTCTTTCTTCAGCAAGTGATAAGTGTGCAGCATTGCAATCTGCGAAGTGCTGATGAATACATTGATCAGTGTCCAGAGCAGGAACCCATACTCGGCATAGAAGTAGCCGGCCCACTTGGAATACAGACAGTAGTACAACTCCACGAATGAAATCAGAAAGGGCCCAAAGCCTCCAAAAATTATTGGTATGGGCTTCAACAAAATGCAGGGCTGCTCAGGAATACGGCGTGGTGTGTTAGCTGAAGTCTCAACTGGGAATTCAATAGGACCTGTTTTGGCTGCGCGACGGGCACCCAGCAATACCAACGGCGTTAACATGGCGGACCAGAGGAACAGCAGAATAATGTATGTCGCACAGTTGTTTCCAATCATCGAAACCGCACCGGGTATAGTAGCCCATTCCATTAGATCCACCAGCAGAAAACCCATAAAACACAAGCCTGGAAAGACAGATGCCGTGTACAAGGCCGCCCGTCGGCCGCCTTCAGCATGAAACGTCTGATCCAAAGTCGAAGTCACGTAGCCGCCCACATAGCCATTGGCGGCATAAAAGAATATTTCCGCAGTCCCAATGGAGCCTCTTCGAGCGGAACTTAAAGTGCCTACAAATGCTAGCACTGCCACAATGACCATCGTGCAAAAGAGTTGAGCTCCTGTTCCACAAGCGACGCAGAACAATAGAGGAAAGTATTCTGGTGGTCGAAAGACGTCCTCATGAAGTGCCTTCCATCCAGTGTTAGATGGTCCATCTTCAGCCGTTGATAAACTACCATAAATTGGTTTTCGGCTCCCTCCAAGATTCACAATGGGAATACAGGAAAGACAGCCCGACAAAATAATCACAAGCAAGAGACCAAGAATTGCACACCGCCAATGATTCCTTTTTGGCACACCATTGTCCATCGATAAGTAAATGTCCCAACGAGACGCCCAGTCTTGATCTTTGTTCTCAATCCATAAGACATCATAAGTGAACAAAATTTGGCCACTGGCGATTTGATGCCTTGTCCGATTGCCACCTCTAAAATAGATCATGTCATAGTTGGTGTGCACGCGATCTCGAGGTGGAACCTGCCTGCTGCAGCTCTGTATGGGATTGATAATGCGGGCATAGGTAGGACCGGAATAGTCGTAGGGCTCGAAATCGTGTCCAATGGAAAATGGCTCCACTGTAAAACGCACAATATTATAGGCATTTGGTGCTCCTTCGACTGGAGTGTACATGATCTCAATGTTGAAATGATTGTTCACATGAGCCAAGTTTGTCACGTCTTGCAAATACCCCAATGGAAAGCCTTGCCAATATTTCGTGACAACGACAACATCATTTTCCATCTTCGAAGCTGCCGGCAAATTGTCCACAATCGCGTTGTATTTATACCCCTTTTGAATAGCCATGGCCATCTTGTTTGGTGCCATGCCTGGCACCTCCTCGCGACCGAGGTTCGTGATACAAAGTTGTTGGCAGTACATGTCCTCTTTGAATCGCAATTGAATAGGAGAAGACTCGATACGATCTCCTCGCAAGAACTCTCCTATATTCTCGCTGTCCAGCCTTGGCCCACCTTCGGGTTGACAGATGGGTAACGAGTATGGATCCAAAGGAATTAAAGTCTCAATAGATGTTAGACTGTTGTACTTTAAAAAGACACTTTAAGAAGAGAGACGAAACTAGTTGAGAATGAGGAAATAATCCGATTTGGAAAGGCAAGTCGACTCAGAATTTTGACTTACGGATCGCCTTGCTGAAAGGATTGCTGATCGACATCTGGTCTATAGTGCAGCGAATGGACGCACTGTAATAGTGTCACTCCAAGGAGGATGTGAGCGGCGGTCGCCATTGTTGCTTGTGTCCTCTACAGATGTACTTATGTGCCTATAAAGTGGTTTACTGAAACTACCGTTTGCCGTATGAAGCATAACAACTTTCAAACCATTATTCATGCGGAATATGATTCATCCCAGTCATGTAAGTACTCATTTAGACCTTCTAATTGTGTCGGGCAATGCAGTGAAGTGACTGCCCCATTGTCTCTCTCAACGTACCAAGACTATCCTACGGTGTTGGGACAACAAGTTGCTTGCCTACGATTTTTCTTGTGGAACATCGAAATAGAATAATAATTTGGTCCTTGTATCTCAAGCAATGTGTATTGAGATCATAGTGAAGCCAACTGACGGTGACAAGGCAAAGGATGCACGCACTTTCTCTATCTTGGATGCTGATGATGACGAAGAGAACGACTAATAATACATAATTATTCAGGGAATGTTCAAAACGAAGCATGATATCTAATTATTTCGGGAATATTCAAAACGAAGCATAATACATAAAATTATTTAGGGAATATTCAAAGCGAAGTAAAAAAAAAGGCAGTTATTCCATAAAATAGGTGATGAATATTTGAAAATCGTCGTATTTTTCATACTACGCCTACGATGACGGCACATTTCCGCTTGGAATAACCAAAGATCGAAGAACAGACGAATAATATTTGATTTCAAAAAATAGAGCTGCTAAGCGACCCGGATATGACTGTAGTAGAGGCATTTTTCGTCCGTTTTGGTACCGTTTTTGACGGGAGCTAGTTTCATGTTGAGAAGCATTGTATCATACATAGTGTGTGTCATCATTGTTTCCATCGACAACACTTCGATCACGAGCCTCCAACGAGCAACAAGGGCAACGGAGCAGGACAGCACACGGCACTGACCACAACAGACGCTAAATAGCCATGATGCAAAACAGCCTGGAGGCAGAAGCACAACATCGTATACATCAGGGGCATCATCAATGAAGACAAGATGAGTTCCAACAAATCTGCATCGGCGCTCGCGATCTGAGTAGGTGCCGATTGATTAGAATGAAGCAATCCAACAATCCACTAGAAAGCGAAAGCAGAGTGGGATTATCTTGCTACTGCACTGCTTAAACGAGATTCGGAATGTTTTGCCTTTTCAATGGTCGGTCAAATCGTTTGCATTCAGTACCGCAGCAAAGAAGACAAGAAGGTATCAATAAATGCGCTGTTACCTGCTTGTCGTGACCTGCTTGATACAGTAGTCTTTGAAGAACAAGCGACTCGAGCCAACAAATCAGCAACAACGTTATGAATTCGGCAAGAAGAATGCTACAATCCACACTGTTTCAAAGCTGATGGAGCGGAGTGTGATTGATCTTGCTACTGTACAGCATAAATGTCTATTCTATGGTCAAAGCATTGTTTGGATAAATGCAACAATCAACATTGTTTGAAAGCAGAAGCGGAGTGGGATTTATCTTGGACCTTCCCGGCTAAAATTGAGGTTCGGAATATTTCTGACTTGCCTATTCTACCGATACGATCACATCATAGTTCAATACAGCAGCAAGCAAGACAAGAGAAGAAAGGTATCGAGCTTGTTGTACTGATGTAAGTACTTTGTTCAAATCACATTGAATGGGAAGACTACTAATCCTGTTAGATGAGATTTGGAATATTTATAAGTTGCCTATTTTACAGTTGAAGAACCATCCAACCGATAACCGGGTCGCACATATCAATCCTTTGGTATATGATTGACTTGTGAACATGGCGTCTGCACTCTCTACATCCTGGTTGCATTAGTAACATTTTGGAATCAAACTTAACTATTTAATCAACTATGTTATCTATAGCATCTCAATGATTGGCTTGCGACGCTTCATTTGTGAGTAAGTCGAGAGTTCGGCAAAGATATGGCAGTAAGATTGGAATCCACCTGCATCATCTTGCTGCCTCCTTGCCATACTATGTGGTAGTTCGGACACTAGCAAGGGATGAATTCCAATGGAACAGCCTCATGCCCGATTGGGGAAACACGAAGCAGCGGCTCCGCAGTATACACTTTTTTCAACCATGGAAAACGAACGGAAATGAGCCTGTGTGAACTCATTCATTCAGCCGAGAGTTGTATGCACTGAGTGCCCAGCCAAGATATAAACGGATCTCCTGGCCAACTGTCAGATCCTCAACGAAGCCCCCGAAGTTGGATCGTTGTGTTGTCCTATGAAGCTGCTCCGCCCAGCTGGCTTCCACTGCTTCCTCGTGCCATGGTTCAGCTTTACTACAGTATGATAGCTCGATAACGTATCTGTAAAATTCCTTGTCTGTAGCATTGGTGAGTTTCTCCGTGACGAACAATATTTTTGATTTGCCTTTTTTGAATTGCAGTAACCTGGATATGGCACCAGCTCCCGTCACGTACCGTATGTAGAAACTGGTAGACGCAAGCAAATGGTTTGACCAAGATTATGTGATACCTGCCAAAAAAAAGGGCATGAAAGTCCTTTTTCTTACTGGATCACCAAAGTGCAGTGCAATCTGCCGTCAGTCGCGAGGAAGGAAGCATGGGGAACAGCGTTTGAGTTCGCATCAAGGATACCTTTGGTAAGATCCAAATTTGACACGCAACAGAAGATTTTACTGCTGATTGAGATGCTCGTAAGGAAACGACAGAAGTAAATAAACTCAAGCAAGGAATGCTGGAGATCCCGCATCTTGCAACCAAGCATCTGGTGGTGAAAGAAGGTACCAGGTACGGTATACTCCACCTTTCGACGAAGTAGTAGAAGTTGAGGCAACCGCGGCCTTGAAGAAAACAAGATGCATCGCGACGAAGGCTATCCAACATAGGGCGAGGGAATGTTGGAAGGGCCATCAAAATCTCATTTGGTAAGAGTTTCTTGGGTTCTAGAGAAAAAATGGTGGGAGCCTCAATGCCACTACCCCTCTACTATGTACATGGAAAAGATGGAACCGCCTCGAGACGCAACTCGGTTGGATCCTATGACGGTCAACGAACAAATGCTGTGTTCTATGCTGTACCAATACTTGTCACTGTTGAGTGTTGACTCATCATACGTTTGTTATTAGCATCTGGTCTAAGTTAATTTAATTAGGATATCTTTATTCGGAATGTTCGAAACGAAGCAAAATGAAGGTCATGAAATTCCTTTTTGTTGACCAGACCACCAAAGTGCAGTGCAATCTGCCGAAGTTTGTCTTTTTACATAAAATAGTTCTTCAGATTCGCGAGGAGGATAAATTGACAGCGTTTGAGCGCCAAAGAAGCGTTCGGATCAAGCTTACGTATACTGCGTAAACCTGGTAGAAAATTCACGATGTGCTCCAATCACCTTGCTAGGATCCAAAATTTGACACTTCACAGGATTTTACTTCTGATTGCAATACTCTCACAATCCGTGAGGAAAAATTTCCAACGACAGAAGGAAAGAAACTTGAGCATTAAAGACCATGTTGCAAAGACTTGCTCTTCTTTCCCTATTGGGAACATCGGCAGTTGCTGCCTTTGACTACGACATCGTCGGTGCAGGATCTGTCGTTCTGACTGATGTTGACACTGGAATCTCAGATTTGAGAACCATCTTTACAGATGATGAGATTGCTGTATCTTTGGACGGCCTCGAGTGGGAGTCCAACGGAGGCAACACCACTGATGGCCTCCTCTTCTACAAGACCTACCTTGATGGTGAGCTCATGTCAGAAGGTAACATGACCCTGGGTGATGTCGGTCGAGAGTTGCCATCTGGTCTCGACGCAGGAACTGTCAAGGCTACCGCTGGAGGCCGCCACACTATTGAAGTCATTGTGACTTCTGGAGAAGCTGAAGCTGTTACTGACAGGGAAGTCGAAAGTTATGCTGCAGGAGTATCCATCCTTCCTCTTCTTGTCATTCTTGTGCTCTCGGTCACAACCAATATGGTAAGTTTGTTCTTTTCCATGTCATTGTCTACTTTTGGCCCTTATCATGCCCATACTAACACTTTCTCTGTACTTGTTCAATTCGTATCAGGTCGAGCTCTCATTATTCTCGGGTATCTTTGTTGGCGCCTGCATTGTCGCCGGAGAGATCAACCAAGGATTCAAGGATACCGTAGAAGACTTCATCCTGAATGCCCTCGCTGACGTTGGCCATGGATACGTCTTTCTTTTTACATTCTTCTTGTCTGGCCTTGTTGCCATGTTGGAGAGAAGTGGAGGAATGCTTGGTTTTACCAGGTACATCTCCCAGTATGCCACCGATGCACGACGAGGGCAAGTTGCCGCCTTTGTTGTCGGTGTCGTCATCTTCTTTGATGATTATGCCAACACGCTTCTTGCGGTACGCCTTCTTCCGTATTGATCATTTGTCATACACGACAATTATTCAAACTCATCCTGCAATTGTTTTGTTACCACAGGGACAAAGTATGCGTCCACTTGTTGACAGTCTCTTCGTCAGTCGGTAGGTACAATTTTGGGGTTCTAACAGCATCCCCTTTATATGCAGTCATTGTCTTACACTTCTGTCTTCTTTCCTTCAGCGAAAAGCTTGCCTTCTTTGTCGATGCCACTGCTGCTCCCATTGCCAGTATCTCCCCAGTCTCCAGTTGGGTTGGCTACGAAGTTGGCTTGATTCAAGACGAGATCGACGCCATCTCGGAACGCTTTGGCGGTGACATTACAATTGACGGTTCTGGAATGGCGCTCTTCCTTGCCTCCATCAAATACCGCTACTATCCTATCTTTATGCTCCTCCTTATCATCGGTCTCATTGCCACCCAACGTGACTTTGGAACCATGCTTATCGCGGAGAGAAAGACTGAAGTCTACAAGAGAACTGATGGTGGTGACGGTGGAACTTCGGGAGCAGCTGGCTCCATGGGTGACGAAAATGCGCCCCGTCAGGACCAACCGCTGAAGACATACAACTTTGCCTTGCCCATTATCGTATTGGTCTTTTTGATCTTTTACACATTGGTCCAAACAGGTGATGATGGCTCTGGCGAACAAGACTTTATGGATAAAATCGAGAGTTCTGATTCCTACCAAGCCCTTTTGTGGTCGACTATCGGTACCGCTCTGGTCACACTAATTTTCTATTTGGTTCAATTCACAAAGGATGGTTCGCTCATTGTTCCAAGTGGATCCGACATCAAGGATGCCTTTTTTGGATCTTCGGAAGAATCTGACGAACCAAAAGCACGATCCATCTTGTCCGTGAGGGACTCGTTGGAAAGTTTCATCATTGGAATGGGGCGTGTTTTCCCAGCATGTATCATCCTAACTCTTGCTTGGGCGTCTGGAAGTTTGATGAAGGCAGTTGGCTGTGATCGTCTCTTTGCGGCTTGGATTGTTGGCGGAGTTGATCCATCCGATCTTCCTACCTTAAGTTTTTTGATTTCCTTGTTCATGGCTCTTGCAGTAAGTGAAATGCTTCATTCTTCTTTGGATATTCCTCTTCCAATGCCATCCTGACTTTTTGTTTTCCTTCTCCCCTTTTTTAAAGACTGGAACTTCGTGGGGTACAATGGGCATCCTCTTCCCACTCATCATGGTCCCAACCTACATTGCCTCAAACGGTGATGAAGAAATCTTCACTGCCACTGTTGCTGGAGTTTTGTCCGGAAGTGTTGCTGGAGATCACATGAGTCCAATTTCCGACACAACTGTGTTGAGTTCCTTGGCGACCGAGTGTGGGTTGATGGAACACGTCGGAACTCAAGCTCCGTATGTGCTGGTGGTTGTCATCATTTCCATCCTCTTTGGTACACTTCCCATTGGAAAAGGTGCCTGGCCCAACTTTGTTGGTGTCATTCTTGGCATTCTCGTTCTCGTAGCCTTTATCTTTGGGATCTGCAAGCCAGTTCTTTCCCCCACTGGAGCATGGGATCCAATTACCTTGCTCTTCCAGAAGATTGCAAAGACAGAAGGTCTTGAGAAGCTTCAGAAAGACACCATTCGAGCCGCAAGTGGGGAAGACTTGTCGAAGGAAGTCGAAGCAAAGAAAGTCGACGTCGAGGAGACTCCAGAGCAGAGCCAGCCCATTATGGAGAAACCTTCTGCAGAAGAAGCAGCAGCCTAAGGCTTCAACTTCTTGCGTCATGTGGCATAACTTGACCCTCTATGTATCAAATTAAGTAATCTATAGTACCTACCGGTATCTTTATTAATAGTTCAGAATGTTGATGAGCTTTTTTCACTTTCATAAAGTATAGGTATGAAAATACTTCAATTTTTTGAAACGTACTTCCTTAGCCTTTGTTTTGGCCGCAAACATGTGTTTTGTCCTTGTGGGTTTCTTCAATCCATCATACGTTCAAAGCATCATCATGTGATGTTTCGTTTCTTCAAGACACTGCTAATTGCGGCGTCCTTTTTCCCAGTTTCACGATTGTCTTTCGGAGTCGGCCGCCCGATGAAATTAAGAATAGAGAAGGATGAGGATACTCGTACTATCCAGTAAACAAGGATGGTGTTGTGCCGGGACAATAACAACCCGGAAACAGTTCAGATCAGCATTCCGCTTCTTCTAAGCGTGGTAGCACAAAGCAAAAAAAGATGGTTTGAGCAAGAACTCTCTGAAGAACAAGAACGATGAAAAGACCAAGCTCGATGCGCTTTCCAAAGCCTTCGTGCTGCCTTGCTCGGCCGTCATTCGCGAGTTCTTTAGATAAACTGGAAACAAGACATCATCTGACTGCGTAACGAAGTGAGAATAGTACCAATGCCCGTTCAAAAAGCAGGAACCAAGTTTTCTATAGTACGGACATGACTGGTATTATTGTCTATAGCGAGAGATCGCATCATGGTTTCAAGAATGATCAGATTCCCCAGTCCCTCCTGTCGCCCTCTCCTACATAACGGCGCAAAACAATCGGGGTCGTCACTTCATGAGAACCACCTTGACGACCATGAGGAGGAATCTTTTGTGTCCTTTGCGGAAAGCAGAACAATGTGGTTGCAATGGAGAACCGACTTTTCGGACCTCGAACTAGAAGATGTGGGCGACTTCTTTCTCTTTTGCTTTCAAAGAACAAGCCTATTGGCCATTGAGAAGAGACTAGCTTTGATTCCTCAAATATCCAAATCCGCGAACAATGGCTGCAACGAGACAGGCAAGAGTCCAAACAGAAAGAGAAGGATGCCAAAGAAGCTGGGTAACTGCATCCATTTGCCATTCCAATGGGTTCTGAAACGACTCCCCCATAGCCCCCATGATCATACACCACCTAATATAGAGGGCGCACCAGCAGAGGACAACTCCAAGGGCGAGATCATAGGGTTATGTAACAATCCACTCGATGAAGATGGTGAAGTTTTCTCCGATTTGGGAGGAAAAGGCCAAGAACAAGACGAGGAACATCCATGCGATTGTTGGTGCTATATGTCGATGTGGACGGCACTATGCCATTAGCTGCTCATCAGAAACAAACAGTGGCAAAGAGCTATAGACGAAGCCAAGAACAAGGCGAGGAAGAAAATCTGTTCGGTTGTCGCTATGTTCCTTGCTTGGACGCTGTCATTCCATTCGCTGCTCATCAGAAACAGGAATTGGCAAAGCAACTGAATCAAACGAAGGGCATCGGCGACCAAGAGACACTGAGCCACGGTCCCGAATACTACCAATGTTCGCACCACCTTTGGACGAAACCAAAGGAGCCAAAGTGACCGACGATAAAGGACGAGAAGAAGTCAATGATTTGGAAGAGGAGAAAAGGGTGCGGTCGCAAAAGCGCATAAAACGAGCTCTATTTCTACTATACAAAGTTTCTTGGGTTGCGCCATGATCTTGATAGGAGCCTTGACAACTGTTACGTTCGATGGTGACAACCAAAACGAGCTACGATCCATCGTCATCGTTTCTGCTGCTATCGCCGTGGTACGAAGTCGCCAGCCAGTGTACACGAGCCAGCAGGAGGTAGTACCTGAACGTTTGAAAATAGCAGAGATGCTTGCTACTACTACTAATACCTACTTGATTAGTAGGTTCAACGCTGATTGAACAAGTTGGATCTACAGGAGCCTTTTTACTGTCCGTACCGAACCGTACTCGTTTAGCTAATCTTCTACTATAGCACCGGTAGCGTAGACGAATTCTACAAGATCTGTTACGACAGATGGCAGAGTACACGTACCGTAGGACAAGCGTCACCAGTCACGTGTAGCGCAGAACAAGAGAAGATGAAAAGAAGGTGCGTCGATTTTGCGGACAAGAACAAGACCAATCAAGATCCAATATTATCTGTTGAGAAAAATCTGCGACTTCTGTAGCCTTCCGTTCGAGCCAGCCATCGGCATGGCGTAACACACACTAAATCTTGGAGGAAAAATATATATCACGTTTGACTAAAAAAAAACTGTGCGAATCAATTATTTAATGCAACAAATTTTCAAAGCACGTATCGTTGACATCCTCGGACACAGATCCCCTCAGCTTCACCCAAGATTCATAACTACTGAGATTGCCACAAGAACCAAAAACCGCTATTGAAACGGTTATCGATATACCTGCTTTCTATTCCCACATGAGACAATCTTCGCATCAGCAACTACAGCAGCAGGGGGTCGGCACTATGCACAACCAAGACGCACACCGAATAAATAATTCGTCACTGACTTTATCATCTTCAGGAACGACTAAAAGCAAAAGCGCAATGCCATCAACTCCCTTTGTCAGCCTGTTTCCAAAGAAATATGCTTCCATGCCCGATGGAGGCAAAAAGAAAAAGAAGAATCGCTTCTTTCCTTCCTTCAAGAAGAAGGTCAAAAACCATGAGGTGCTGATTGAGACGGTCAACGAAGACAGCTCGACTGTGGCTCTTTCCCAGCTCTCTTCGAATCCTCCTTCTCCGGCTCGCACCAGCAGTGACGCAGTGGAAGATCCTCCATTGTGGACCTCCTTTGATGATAATGGTTTTCACGAGGATGAGACCAACGATTCTTCCGACCTTCTCATCTTCACTTCGGCTTCCAACGATACCGATGACCCACCGCTGCATGTACTTGCTGCACAGCCACTGACTCCAACTATAAGTTCCCTCAGTGAGCACGGAAGCATCTTTCACTCGCCGCAACGAAAGACCAAAATGCCAAAAGCACTGGCGCCCAAGCAAAAACAAGAAGAACACAAGCCAAAGGCAGATGAAACGAGTCCCAAGCAAGACTACACGTCAATGCCCATTGATTTGGACACCTATGATGAATGGCACGATGATGAATCGCATTGGGTTGAATTTGTGGACGAACGCAAAGACCAATCGGACTGGGGAGGATGGACTGCTGATATCGTCGATTGGGGGCATGCACCCATGGATGAATTGGCGGAACTCCCAGTCATCTCCACAACCAACAGTTTTGAATATGGTCCCAAGGATACCAGTGATGAAGCTAGCTTAGATCCATCCACTGTTTCATTTTCATCAGCTCCGCTCAGTTCCATGATTGTCCATGAAACCTCAACGGGTGATGTGGAAGTATGCGATCCTGAATGCCCTCTTCGATTCTTTCCGAATGGAAATGAGGACGGCAACGAAGAACCACCCGAGAACACTCCTGGATATCCATTCGTTAGTGATGGTGATGAAGAAGAGCCAGCAGCACAACAAAGGCCTTCCAAATCTTCCAATCGTCGCCAAAGGACTTCTCAACAACAGCAAACGCAAAGCAGCAGTATGTTTTCTTCCTTGTCCTATTACCAGGACCAATTTGCTGCCAAATTCAAGCCTTCCGAAGAAAGTCGTGAGCACATGGCCCACCGGCTACACAATGATACCTTGGCCCTCATTGGAAGTGTTTCCGAAAAGTTGCACACCTGGGACTCTGAAGCCCGTCAACGATTCCAAAGCAGCAACAACAACAACAGCAAGACGCGTGAGCAACCAGTGCAACCACAGAATGATGAAATCAGCATTGCCACCTCGGCTTCAATCGAGACTCGAAAGAAGGGCAACACTTCCTACTTTTCATCAGACGCTTTCAACTATTCTTCCACCATGTTTGATGGTGGCTGCAACTTTATCGAACCCTTTCTTCGGTATGGACAAGCGGAAGTGTGAAAAAGGAAACAGAACCATAAAAAAGGAAGCACACAGAGAGACACAGACACAAGTCTTGTTTCCTAACTACCTTTAACAATGCGTCCAATAGATTTTAAATTCAACATAAAATTATAAAGGAAGTTTGTTAAACAACAATAAATCTTTGTACAATATTCAACGACAATGCTTGGATCACAATTTACTGTTGCGCCTGGTGCTTTGGTTTTTATTCGTCAATCAGAGTCCAAGTCCCCTTGTCATTTTTAAAAAAAAACTGTATCCGTTGACAGGAGATCTTGCCCAGTTAAAACATAATTAACTACGGTTATACCAGTTCAAGATAAAATTTACAAAGACAGTTATTTCATACATTATATTGGTACACTATTCGAGGACAATGCTTCGATCAAGCGTGGTGGTTACAGCTGCATATTGTTATACAATGCTGAGAGGACAATGGAATGGCAGGAGCCTATTCCTGCGAGATCGTCAATACAGAAATTGCATTCAGTAAGTTTTTTTTCGCGGCTAGTTGGCCCTTTGAAGATCGTGCGCTTGCGGGCGACTTCAAGAGAGTCTGTTCCATCGAACTGATGCACTTCGACGCATTTTCATCATCCTTTCGGAAGGAGGAAGTGAAGTCAGCGGCTTCGTAGGCGGTCTTCAGCTTTCGCAGGGATAAAGACTTTTTCAGTTTCAGTTGTGCCAGTCGAAAGCTGCCAGTTGTGGAGCTAGAGTCCACAGACTTAGCGTCTGAACCTTGGGTTGCAAAGCTGCTGGTTGATCTTTGGAAGATTTCTTGAACGTTCAAGCTGTTGGCTGATTTCTGAAAGAAAGACGGAGAGCTAGAGTTGAAGGACTTGGCATCGTCATCTTGGGTGAAAAAGCTATTAACTGATTTCTGGAAGAATACTTCTTCCACCTTCAATGACTCGGACTCGCTGTTGAGGTCGAGATTGTTGATCTCATGTGCGGTGACATCGAGGTTATTAGATTGATACCTCCTTTCGTCCCTTTCGAGGAAGGCACCCAAGGAGATCGTCGCACGTGGCATTTGGATGGGGGAATCTAAATCGGAACGAAAGCTTGCATCAATATCATGCGAGCACTTCGACATGAGGTCTTTCTCAGTTTCCTCAACGATGGTAGAAAGGCCATCGCTACTGAAATCACCGCTATCGTTGGTATTTATGGTTTCGTATGAGTATTCTGAATCTGAATCACAATCAGAATAGCAATCCCAGTCACCGTTGCCATCTTCCAATTCCATTGATAGATTCATCTTGTCTTCTGCTTTCACGAGAGTAAAAAAGAGTTGTGATGATAAATTTGAGGGCAAAAAAATGGGATTGATTGCGCCTTCGACGTGGTACCGGTGCATTGAGATTTAACCCATAGATTTTAATTAAGTAGTATTTTCGAGCCTGTGTGATCATCGTTTGGAGGAGTTGAGGCAGAATTTTCATATCTAACACTTCGCGAAAGACTAAATAAATAGGGAAAACAGCTTAGATAAGGTAATCTTGGAATCGTTGTCGTTCGGGATTCATTTCTCCGTTGTATCAACTCAACACCGGTCAAAATCCATAAGTGTACATGGTTCGTCTAAAATACAATTAGCGCTGAGCTCACTCGAACCAGCACTGGAATCATACGAGTATCCTCCAGCAGTGTATGCAGTTTTTACGAAAGGTGAAAATATCGTACCAGTACCTGGCACCGGTTCGTACCAGTACCAGTAGCCGGAGGCCTTTTCGATGATGTACCCAGGTCCTACGTAGGTACTGTACTCAGGCCTTTTTCACGACCGGAAGTGGATCGCTGGGCCGCTATCAGGCATCAGGTATTGGTACCACGTCGATAACAGGTACGATAATTCGTATGGTACTACTGGGAGTTATCACTGGCAGTGGATCTTTTGCGTGAAGGCTGAAAACCACGAGATTTTGTCAACAGCGGATATTTGTTTATCGCTCAAACGGGGGACATATGTTTTTTGGGTAGTTGTGTTTTAACCTGCAGCATATGATACTGGTACTGTACCTAGTACTTGTAACGTGTTCCGTCGCAGGCAAGTCGTTTTCTAAACATCAGTTAGTGCTCTTTCAGTACCATGCATTGCACTATCATGATTACTATACCTAGCTAGTCTATTGCTCGGCTGCAGCAACGATCACGAGATGGGTGGCTGGGCAGTTCAAATTGGAACCATTTGATGAATCAATGAATGATTTTTCCTTCTGAGGTAACAGGTACTCGAACGAAAGTGACAGAATGATGAGCGTCCATCATCTCCTTGTTCTTGCTGTGTTGTCTTTTCGGCACTCGTATTTGAAAGTATTATAAAACAGGAGCTTGCCCGCTCACGTTCGGGAATCGATTATTTACAGTAACGCAAGTCGGGAGATATTTGCAATTGAAAAAGGCGAAACAACATCCGGTAAAAATAAGGATACTCAAAATCATGCAGAAATACGTCGTAGATTTGTTCTCGTGCCACCAAGATGGAGTCGCCCACATCTTGCAGAGGGCACCCAAAATCCAGAAATTTCGAAGAAAGAAAAAACACACTTCCTTTCTTGGACTGAAACTTCCACTACCAGTTGCAATTCTCTGTTCAGCAAACCGTCTAACGTATCCTCGTCAACATGGTCCTCCAGATACATCTACAAACAGTGGACAGTCCCACTTTTGTCAATTACTATGCCTCTAACAAGATTGCCAATCGAATGTCAACAAAGAGGACGAGAAGAAACCACCAGCAAAGTCTGCAAGCTATTGGGTCCATTATTGATCAACTTCATGTGAGTCCCTCCAGGTGCGTTAGGTTTTCCGAAGAGACAGAGACTTTCGAGGTGGAATACGCTTCAGTTGATACCAGAGACACTTGGTATAGTCGCGCTCAACTCTATCTAGCCCAAACTGATACGAAAAATTGCTTGGCACGTCTTTGCCGGGGCGAAGCTGAAGATGATTTTGGCTTGGAACGATGGGTCAGTAGAGGCGCATTAAAGTTTCAAGAACATCAAGAAGCAGCCATGGGTGCTGTCATTGGAGATTCCTCGTCCTATGCAGCGAGGCCTACACAAGGCATTGCTTCTGCTTATGCAGCAGACGTTTGTATCTACTCCAAGATGGTCGCCAACACTCGAGGTATGAAATTGGAACGACAAGTCCGCAAATATTATTCCTTGGACAAGGTTTTGGAACGACCAAGTATGATCTCGCACCGTGGTGCCAGCTGCCCGAACCATTTCAGCACCGATTCGACGAACTACTCGAAGGGTCAAATCATGTCCCATCGTCTCCTCCTCCGATCTTCCTTTTCCAGCATCGACATGTCCATGTATAGAAGACGATCTTCTAGATGCCAGATTGCCTTGGAAGAAATTCACACGGCATTGGTATCTGTTCGAAGAACTGGGTTGCATGGAATGCCCATTGCCACGTATGACGATGAATATTGAATTGGAAAAAAAAGCAAAAGTACAGATGGCATGGTGGATTGTGCCATTACCACTCACCCCGTGTTGTATATTGTAATAGCATCATACATATCTATATATCTATACTGTATGTTAGAGAGCAAGCTATCACCATTCGTCGGCACATGTCTGAGAGCTAGTCATCATCATCATCAATACGTGATAACTAGGACTTGAGGTGCCATGAGATTTCAACTAAACCTTACTCGCCACACCCTGACAACACCATAGTTTCTTGTGCTTGCAAATACCAGTCTTACTAAAGGCTTCCTTGCAATTAAAACGACCAATATCAGTGGTTCAAACGAAATCCACGGCTCAGATTGGCTGCATGACAAGCGCCACAACTGGTATGACCATGGTTGTAGTGTACAATAATAATGAAATTCTCTACAAACTCGCCATTATTCTACCAACACATATAATAGATCTACATACTCAAACTATTGCAGGTAGTCCCCCCAACATTGTGCACGACTGGATTTCCGTGACAAATATAACACGATTGCCAGAAAATACATACCATTCACTACGTTCTAGTTGAAAAGTGCACGGGCCATGTCGAAGTTGTTGTTGTCTTTCTTTTGTTGCCTTCCAGCTTCCTTCCAGTCCTTTTCCATCTTGTTTTGTTCTTTGCGCACTTGTCCTTCAACCGACTCTGAAATATTGACATTCTTAAGTGTAGCCTTGGTATCTCGTTCTGCTTGCTTCTCAGCCCGACCTCGAGCTGCCAATGCATTAAGTTCATTGGACTCCACAGTTTCTGTCACATTGACATTTTGATTCTCTCTGACAGTGTTACGTTGAGTTTCCTTCTCAGCCTTTCCTCGTGCTGCCAATGCCTTAAGTTCATTGGATTCTACGGTTTCTGTCACATTCACATTTTGATTGTCTCTGATTGTGTTGCGCTGGGTTTCCTTTTCTGCCTTTCCTCGTGCAGCCAATGCCTTTAGCTCGTTGGATTCAACGGTTTCTGAGACATTCACGTTTTGATTGTCTCTGACAGTGTTGCGCTGAGTTTCCTTTTCTGCCCTGACGCGGTTGTTTTGTTCCTTTCTGACAGAGCCTTCAACAGTGTCAGAGATGTTAACATTCTTAAGCGCATCTCTGGTCTCCTTGACGTAGGCATTGTCAGCCTTCTTCTTCTTGGTCATACCCTGTTAGTGGAAATAAGGAGATTGGAAATGATTGTAGCATACGAATTGAAGGCCAACAGGAGAAGGAATTCGATTATTGGGTTAGTCTGTCGTGTGTCTCAAGTATAAAAGACCATAATGATTCTGCCTCATTTGCTTGTTGCTCTTACCATTCCAAACATTAACTCAGCCATGGTGGAAGTTTTGTTTTAGAGAACGAAAAAGAGATAGAAGAGAGGTGGTTGCTTGGTTGCTGGTGGTCGTCAAGAGTTCGCGACTGAGAACCAGAAAAAAAATTGTGTTTGACAGACAGTCAAGAATCTTGAAGGCACGTCAAATAAAATCAGTTCGGATCTGCAACTGCTTATGCCTTCTGTTGTGTAGCAATTGTACCAGCTCGTACGCGAGAGTAACCGCCAAGAGGCATTGCCATGACTTTGAGGCCGAAAACACTAAATAAGCTCTTACAGTCAGTCTTGGACGAAAATTTGCCATAAGTATGTTGGGTCCCACCAGGATCCATGTATCCAGGTAGGTTCCCCATAAAAGAGGACTGCTCCTGCAGGAGGTAGTAGCATACTTCAGCAAGTGATGGAATGTGGCAATGCTTTTGGGGCCATAGGAATAGAGTGCAAAGGCCAGTAATATGAGCGGATCCAGCGTAGGGCGGGGCACAAGCTGATAGTTAAATTGGAGTAACGATTGGTGTTCATGACATGTATCGTCATCTGTCCACCACAAATGACGATAGGATTAGCTTTCCTGCTTCCATGATTTTTGGTTTGGACGAGGTGTCTATAACAAAATCAAGCTGATGAGATACACTAGTAGAAGCAAAGAAACATCGTCTATTGGTGGTAAAACCCAACATTGCTATCCCACAAATTGAGAAGAAAGAAAGCACCCATAAAGCACCCAAAACAAAAAGGCTGCTCTAGTTGAAGAGTGCACGGGCCATATCGAAATTTTTGTTTTCCTCCTTCTGCTGTCTTCCAGCTTGCTTCCAATCCTTTTCCATCTTGTTTTGTTCTTTGCGGACTTGCCCTTCAACCGATTCTGTAACGTTGACATCCTTCAAGTGAGCCCTGGTTTGTCGTTCAGCTTCCTTCTCAGCCTGGGTTCTCTTGTGAAGGTTCTTGAGTTCATTGGTTTCAACGGTTTCAGTAACATTCACGTTCTGATTGTCTCTGATGGTGTTACGTCCAGCTTCCTTCCAGTCCTTTTCCATCTTGTTTTGTTCCTTGCGGACTTGCCCTTCAACTGATTCTGTAACATTGACATCCTTCAAGTGAGCCCTGGTTTGTCGTTCAGCTTCCTTCTCAGCCTGGGTTCTCTTGTGAAGGTTCTTGAGTTCATTGGTTTCAACAGTTTCAGTAATAGTCACGTTCTTCAGAGCATCCCTAGTCTCCTTGACGTAGGCATTGTCAGCCTTTTTCTTTTTGGTCATGCCCTATATCCGTGACAAAAGACGATGTGGAATGATTGTATTCATATGTTTTTGATAACATCAGGATTACGGTATTCAAGTTGAAGAAACATTAGTTGTGACGGATGTACCATTTGAAAATCATGTTTCACATCGTTCTCTTACCATTCCAAACATTAACTCAGCCATGATTAGAGGTGTTGTATTCGAGAAAAATCAAAGAGGGAGGAGAGGAGTTGTTGTGTTGTTGGTTGTTCGCTAAAGAAGCAATACAATGGTAGCGTTCGAAGCCCGAACCTCGGCTTGCAGTTGTGCATTTTACTGTACGTGGAAGTTGGCACAGTTTCCACATCAGCCAAAAATTGGCCGCAACGGAAGTCTGTAAACAACACTAAAAAAGCCCATCGTCCAAATTTCAGGTGTCAGTATAGACAAGAAAAAGTATCGGTCCGCATCTTGCTTGGTTGGTCTCCATCGTGTACAGTAAGCGACGACCAATTTCAAAATTATAAATTATAGATGATTAAAAGGATGAAGCGCAAACCACGAGCTGATTTGACGCTATGTAGTACTGTTATGGATCGAACTGCTGGGTGAAGCAGCAATCATGACCACCACACAAGAACCATGAGGATGATGACTGCATCCAGCAGCAGCGGCAATTCGCAGGATGATGACAGAATTGCTTTCTTCCCCGAATGCTGGAGCATGTGAAATCGTTGAAACTCTTCTGAGATCCCAAAAACCTGATAGGCCTTCCCATGGGACGTGTCTCTTGATAAACAACTTGCTTCTACTAGCTACTTGGAGGGTTGCAGGCAAAAAAAGAATAATTACAGACTGCTGGCAACTTGACTTCTCAACCAAGTTTGGATACGCTAGCAGAAGGTGTTAAAGAGTTTTACCGCTGTATGCTGCCTGTCTCAAAAGGCACATTTCCGGTACACCTGCCATTCCTGAAACGTATAGAGGACCAGACAGTCCTTGAAAGTTTCTTTTGCAATCCCTGTGGTACGAACCACAATACTGGTATTGTAGTTTTCGAACGGATTGTGAAGACTTTTAACATACAAAAGACAGAAAAAAAGAAATCTAACGTTCTTCTAAAACCATACAATTACAAGACATCAGCAGATTCTGGGGTTTGCATTCTTCTTGTGCCGCCTGTCGAGTCTCATTATTCTTCTTTGCCATCTATCAATATCCATCATTTCGTCCAGTGTGGTGAGTACGCACGTTGGCTTCCTTGTGTGTGTGAACACGAGCCTTTTCCCTTCCCTGTAGCATCACATTTGGAGCCGTTGCTAGAAGCTCTTGCATCATGTATTGGGCAGCTCCGTCATCATACCCATCAGTATTGATAAACACCAACGCATAAACATTGGATTCTGGGAAGAAAACCACTTGCGTCTGACTGCCCAATTCCGAACCATCATGAGCAGCAGCGTGGTCCCAGTTCAAGTCCGTTACCGGTTCCAACCAATCATCTTCTTTTGCGAAAGAAGCCTTATCTAGAAGCAGCCAAGAGAATCCTTGGTTGCAATCCCGACCAGACTTGCCGGGCTCGGAACACTCAAGCGCAGTCTTCACCATCCCTTTTGGAAGCATACCATCGCCATAATCGATCATAACTTTCAAAAATCGTGACATATCTCTAGCCGTTGTTCTCAATTGGCCGCTGGCGTAGTCAATGAAACAATACTGCCCCATGTCTTCCCATTCGGTCGTATTCTCAGAATAGGAGATTGGCTGTGATTCGAGGACATCAGGAGGTAGATCCTCGCTGAACCAAGCAGTAGAATCCATGCCCACGGCATCGAAAATGTGTTCTTTGCAGTATGCATCGAAACTAGTACCAGTCACATGCTCCAGGAGCGCAGCAGCATATCCCGTCGCAAGATTGGAATATTCATTCTTTGTTGCTGGCTTCCAGTCTTCCCAAACAGCACCTTCGCCAAGGTCAAACCAGTTCAGATTGGTTCCATCAGTGCCTACAGATGTTTCTGTCTCCTTGTCAATCAAGAGATCTCGATAAAACCCAGTAACATCTGTCAGAGGACATTCCGGATTTCCAACCGCCCCGCCACCCCATCCACCAGTTGGTCCATAAGTTGGAGCATCTCCATTTTCGAGCCCTGGGATTTCTCTCCCAAACGATGAAGTATGTGTCATCAGCATTCGCCAAGTGATCTTTGTATCGTTGTACTTGGGATTGCGGCAAGCAGATTCATCGTAGTACTCATCGGGCAATGCATCACAAATGTCGTCATCCAGATCGATTAAATCCTGAGCAGCAAGCTTCAGGATTGCAGTGCCAGTGAAAACCTTGGAGACCGAAGCAATCATGAATGCAGTGTCCTCAGTAATCCTTGGAGCGTCTGCCTCAGCTGAGGCGTATCCATACGAGCGGAAGAGTGGTGCATCTGAAAGACCCTATGAAGTTGGAACGCAAAGTAAGCGTGATTAGTGAGTCTAACTTTCAAACCCGGAACTATGCAACTAATCGTGCAATCTTACCTTGTTGAAGTATGCGACAGCAGCACCGCGAACTATGGTAAAGAAACTGAATTAGAGAACGGAAAGGTTGCAGCACAGTAGGACCAATCACTTCACATACCCTTGGATTCCTCCATAACTGCTTCCAACGCATCATCGAGTTCATCCTTAGCCCTGGGATGGCGGGGAGGGCCCTCTTTATTCCGAATTGGACGGGTTTCTTCCTTTGTACGTTGGGCAGGTCGCTGCTTTGTTGTGCTATGACGGTCTGCAACGTAGATATCCCCCAAGGCTTTTCCCTGAGTGATAGCACTAGGGGCTGCCTTCAAGAGATCTTTCATGATATTCTGCGCCGCCTGATCGGTGTTTCCGCCAGTGTTGGTAAAGACCAAAGCATACACTCTTTCTTCGGGGAAGAAAACAACTTGTGTTTGACTCCCGGCTTCCTCACCGGCATGGCCTGCAGCGTGTTTCCATTTGAAGTCTTGTGCCGATTCATACAACCAATCGGGAGAATTATCGTAGGTCATGAGCTCCCAGCCAAATCCTTGATCACACGCACTGCCAGATTTGCCAGGTTCGCTACATTCCAGAGATTTCTCACCGAGCTCCTTTGACCACAACTTGACTCCATAATCCAACATTGCTTTCAAGTAGAGTGAGAAGTCTTTAGCATTTGTTCGGAGACCACCAGAGGCGTAGTCAACAAAACAGAACAAGTCTTCATCTTTGAACTGATTATTTTCAAATCGGACTGTTTCAGTTTCATGGGCGTCAGGTGGCAAGTCCTTCCTGTGCCACGCAGTGCTCGTCATACCAAGCTTTTTAAAGATCTTATCCCTACAGTATGTAGCAAAAGACGTATTTGTCTCGTGTTCCAAAAGTGCTGAAGCCAATCCAAAGGCCAAGTTCGAGTAATGATTTTTGGTACCGGGCTTGTCGTTGAGCCAAATCTTCCCCTCGCCAAGGTCGAACCAGTTAATATCGTTTTCATAAGTGCCTACAGATGTCTTGGTATCCTTGTCAATCATAAGATCTCGGTAGAATCCTTTGACATCTGTCAAGGGGCAAGTCGGATTTCCAACTGCAGAGCCACCGTATGCATTTGCTGGCCCATACGCAGCATTCCCACCATCGGCCATAGTTGGAATATCCTTGGCCATGGACGAAGTATGAGTCATTAGCATTCTCCATGTGATAGGGGTAGTTTTATAGGTAGGATGGGTACACGCAGTAACATCGTAATAATCGGGCAAGGAATTGCAAATGTTATCATCCAAGCCGATTACGTTGTCAGCAGCGAGTTTGTAGATCGCAGTGCTGGTCATGACCTTGGAGACGGATGCAATCATGATAACTGTATCAATATCCATGTAATCAGCATCGTCAGCAGCACTAGTTGTTCCGTAAGCACGGAGGATTGGTTCGGTTGAAAGATTCTGTGGGCAGCAATAGGGGAAAACATGAGCACTTGTTTCATCGACAAACAGGGTAACATCACTTGATGATTGATTCTTACTTCATTGTAATATGCCACAGATGCTCCACGAACTGGAGCATTATAAAATGCAAGTAAAAGGTTGAGACTGTAGTATCGGCATGGAAACATGATAAACAAGCTTGTCAGAACTCACCGTTATTGCTCTTCAATGCAGCCTTCATCGCGACATCGAGGGCATCATCCTGCTGGGCTGTCGAGACACCAAGGAGAATAGACGAGAAGATCCCTAGTAGGGTAAGAACTTTCAAGTTGAGCTTCATCCCTGAAACACTGATGCTTGATAAGGACTATGAGTCTATGAAGGTGATGAAGATGACTGTCCAAAGATTTCTCGGTCATCCAAGAGGTTTGGCTCTACGTTCCAGCAGTACTATGAAAGACCGAAATCTTTAAAAAAATCCAAAGATTTTTTGCATGATATTACGTGGTCACGAAATGATTATGACTCGTCGGGGATTTCACGAATGCCATGCAGTATGACCCCGTCCAAAATTCTACGAATCTATCCTTCACAGAATGTGTCCACAATGAGCACATATATATTGAATATATCTGCCAGTTAAAAAATGAGCACACATGGCGCAGTTAGAGCACATCTGCCAGTTTGGTAACAAACAAATAATTTTTTTTATAAAAAATGAACTTTTAGTATGAAACAACAGCTTCGAGCTAAGCAATAATTACTTGGCAAAAGCCCACAATCTGAAATCGCAATGCCTCGTATTAGTTGATAATGAAGAAACATTTAGAGGGTCAGCACCATTTGCATCGACCAATGATGACAGAATTGCTTTCTTCCCCGAATGCTGGAGCATGTGAAATCGTTGAGACTCTTCTGAGATCCCAAAAACCTGATAGGCCTTC